GTGTTGCCCTAACCATAGGGCAGCAGAGGTGGTGAGTGGGATGTATATTCCACTCTATGAACACTCATGTTGCTACAGATGCAATTCTCTTACATTGTGGTAGAAGTACTTAGACAGAGTCAATGAAATCATCTGTCACCTGACATGTGCTCAAGGATGATGGATGTTGACTGGTGTGGGTGTGATAGTGCTGAAGGTAACAAAATATTGGATAATCCTCATTTATCTTGAGTTAATCACAAGATTATCAAGGATTAATTGCTAGGATATCCCTGAACAGTGACTTATATGTGTCATAGAATTATCTGATTTTACAGTCATATAGCAGGTAAGATGATCTAAGGCAACTGAAGTATCTGTTATTTTTGCTTCCTGATGATGAGCAGGCTCTAGAGCCACGATATTTGTAACGCCGATGATTGCTATCTCCGACCATCGATACCTAAAATTTGAACATTCCGAAACTAGTATATCTCTACCTTCATGGAAGCCGGAGTGTTTCATTCATTCCGCACATGAATCTTCATGGGGGAAGGACGAGCCCCATCCATTGTCCTGGGATAACGCAATCCAATCAGATGATACGGCTCTGGTACTCCATCCATTGTCACGGTGTGAGGATGGCATGCCATAGGCCCATCTTTTACGCCAAGGGTTTGGTGCGTTATGTTGCTTCCTCGTCCTCCAAGGTTGTTTGAATGTCGGTTCGCTCTGTTCATAGCGATGCCATGCAGGATTCACGAGCTTTTGATCGCGTGAGTTGAGAGCTGTTAACTGCAACGCACATGCTTACTACAACCTCACCGCTGATGGCACCGGTGCCGGGGGTCGCTGTCAGATCCTCATCTATTCTTTTAACGTCCTCTTCCTCTGTTATCGCCGTCACGTCATATGAAGACTCTCTAGCAGGTTCTTCGTCTTCATCCATGGCCCGGTTGAGGTTGTCCAATCCCCGACGAGCCCTTCTATCCATTTCCCCTAAGGATACGAAGACAAGGTTAGATTCATAGGAGAGGACCTCACGCCAGACCGAGACCTACGAGCCCTAGCAGCAAATTTCGGATCTCCCATCAACTCCTGATCTTCGAGTAGATTCTGCAGCGTATTCCATGCCTTTTGCAGCTTTGCGTAGTTATGAAGATGGTGTATACCATCGACGATGTCGGAAACCTGATTAGGATCAGGTATTTGTTGACTCGGCGGCTCTGTCATTTAGTCGAGAGGGATAAGGGAAGACGTCAAATGAGGGTTGTGTCTGAGCGACGAGGATAGGCTAGAGACGTAGAAACTCGATTGCGTCGGAAATGCGGCACCAAACGCAGAGTTTTCTTTTTAGACTATCATCATCACTCGTTCTTTGATTTTAGGGGATACAACCTAGGGAAGATACACCAGCTCACGGTATAATTCAGGTCTGAACGCAGAGGAGAGAATGATTGCTGAAGTGTGTGTACTATATATGACATGTACGCAGCCAGGCCGCATGGCAACACCGACAACCGCCATCTCGGATTATCAACTATGAACATGATAGAATAGGTTACGGACATCCGGGACGTGCACGAGGTCGACCCAGCAGTGCCCGGGATTCTTTTTCCAGATGGATATGAAGAGATCTGAGCATGTGTATTTTAGATATCGAGCGCTCTCAGTTCATTATCTCACCAACCTTTTGAATGACCTTGGATTTCGTGGCCCTTCCTGGAAACCTGTCAAAATAGAAATTGCAACAGTCTCTCTTAGTAATCCCCCTCTTTTCCAGAGAAAGCTATGGATAAACGTTAGCAAGATCTGAAATGAATAATCCCGAAGCAGGTGAGATACCTTCTGGTGGACATCTTCCCAAAAGCCTTTGTTAACACGGCGACCGGAATTCTCTTTCTTTCCCTGAACATGCAACTGGTGGATGAAGTCCCACTCTTCGTCGGTAAGGCGTTTCCCGCCCAATCCCTTTATTGCGCCAAGTGGTTCGTCCCCCATGGTCCGACACCGTCTGGAGGTGGCTTTCTTCTCCGGACCGCCTTTGCGCGGGCTTGGCTGCGTACGAGTAAGCCAAGAGTTGACCGTCGTCGCAAGCATACGTACGGTTCAACGAGTACTACCTGTGCTTATGAGTAAATACACATTGCTCCATCTGATGAAAAGTATAATTACCTGGGGTACGGCTCCTTAAGGTCATGCCTTCATCCATCGTTCCCTCCGTATCCTCAGACTCGTCTGGCTTCGTCATCAAGCTGAGAGAAGACATTTTGTCCAGCTGCTGGTCGTCGGCGGACGCGCCGCTGAAGTCGTTCAGTGCCTGACGCGCCTTCATTTCCATTTCCCCTAGAGAAACGGAAGAATTGGTGAGTCGCGTCAGGAACAAGATAATGTCTGAATCCGAGACTAACGAGCCCTGGCAGCGAAGAGCGGGTTTGCCATCAACTCTTCATCCAGAACCCTAGCTTTCACGGTACCCCAAGTTTTGAGAAGGGTAGCGTGAGTTTCTGGATCAGTCAATCCATCGACGAGATCTGCGAGGTGCGTTGCTACAGATGTTGCCTGATTGTCCGGCCCAGTCATGTTTCTGAGAAGGAGAACGGGAGATGTCTATTCTGAGAAAATCGGGATGGAACGAGAGAGAGATAGCGTCAAGCGTCAGAGCAGGTTTTTGTACCCGCAGGAACGTGGTCCTGCAAGTTGTGCCAGTGTACGTGCCGCCACAAACCGAAAACTATGAATTGCGGAAATGCGGCACCAAAGGGAAATTTTCAGACCATCATCATCACTTCGTCCTGGCTCATGCAATCACCAAACTTTGGATGAAGGAAGAAAACGCGCACCAATATATTAATATTGCACGTACACCAGTAAATGCTGCAAGAGTCCTTGTGCTATCTATAACCTATGTGTGATCCATGGTGCCCAGGCTCATGGAATAAACCCGTTGACTCCATGCGCCGCCTTTCATTCTGCTCGCCGCTTGGTTGCCTCCAGCTTCTCATGCCAGTGCGAGCGTACTGGCAAGGAAAGTAGCAATCAAGAGACCACCGATGCCAACGACACCGCTCCGTACGCCGCTGCTCGAGCTCGACCCTCCTGCAGAACCAGTTGTACTTGTCCCCACTGGACAGCTCGCCAGTACACCAGTGCTGCTCATATTAGCGCTGGCCCATACCTCCGTCGTCCCCAAACACGTGCCATTCGTCGCAATGGCCGCAGCAGCATAGAACAGCACCGCCGTCGGAGCAGATATAGTCGTCTCAAACCCGGATTTGGACGTGCTCGTCATAAGCTGCAGCGAACCCGTCGAATTTCCGCCCAGAAGGGCCCAGGTTGACACGTCTGTCGCTCCGTTCCAGCTGGCGAAAGCATTCCCTTGCCCGTCGAGTGCGAAATCCGGGTTTGTGAGTGGTCTCCCGACCCAGGCTTGCTTGAACGCGCGATAACTCTGGGCAGTGCTGTTCAGGCTCGCAAAGTGCACCTCGTATAGCAGATCCCCGGAAGACGAGAACTCGGAGTAGTAGGGCTGTGCGCCCCAGCCGATGAAGACGTTCCCGTTGCTCAGGACGGAGGTTGAGCCTTGGGAAGGGGCGGTTTGACCGAACGGTGCTGGGTACTCTTGGATAAGCGTGTATGTCATGGCAGACGTGTCGAGCTCGAGGACGATCCCTCGTGCAACGGGGTCACCGGGTTGGGCGCCGTTACCCCCATCGGCGTTGTCGAACACCGAGATACGGAAGGGATTGGACGTGTCTGGTGTAAGGAAGCGTGCGTGATGTTGGAACCAGAAGCTCGTGCTGTTCACAGTCAGGTTTATGTTGTAAGAGGGATCCCAGTTGGGGCGGAAACTAAAGCTCACTTTGTGCCCATGGAAAAACTCGGGTTCATCCCCCCAATCTGCCAGATGATATCGCTCGTCGTATGATTCACGAGGTAGAGCGTACTCGGCCCTCGCAGGGAAACGAGATAATCCCCATTCGCGTCCTTATCAAGAGAGTTGATATGGCAGCTGTCCGACCTCAGTTCCGGCCCAAATGTGTGCGGTGGCAAAGTAGCGGATGGGAAGAGACTCACTAGTCGAACGGGTTGTCCGAGCTGTTCCCCACACTCGGGTTTGCGAACCCGAAGTACGTCATACTAACAGGCACATGTTCCAAGCTCCTCCACTCAAACAGTAGCTCCCCACTACTCAGGTCAATTTCCTGGAAGACACAGTCCCACGTGAAGCCTTCCTGCGGGCCGCCGACAGGGGACAAGTCGGCGGACTCGACACGCCAGGACTCGACGAGTGCCGTGTTCTGTGGCGTGAGGATGAACTCGTGGAAGTCGGAGGTGTTGGCGGTCTGATTGAGCGAGGAGACGGTTGTGAGTACGTTGTATGACTGGTCTAGGACGACCCACTGCCTGACTGTCAGTGCAATGTTAGTGAGCAGGGGGAGGACGCACGTAGCCCTCGCCAAACCCAGCACTGGAGAACGTCCCTTCCAAACTCGTCAGTATGCACGTGACGCATGCCTTGGGTAGGACGTACCTTGAAAGAAGCTCAACACGGGCTGGCCCTGATACTCCTGCACGATCAGGTCCATGCTATTCCCCCAATCGATCTCCCCGCTCCACACTGTGCTCCCATTATTGTCCAGTATCAGCGGGGCGCCGAATGCTGCCTCCACACCACGGTAGGCGATGAGCGTGAGGTCGGTGCTTATGCTGGAAGGGGAAGAGGAGTAGCCGGTGACGATGTTGACTGCTGGTGGGTGCAGGGGTGAGGAGGTGAAGTTCTGGAAGGGGGAGATACCCAGCTCGCCATCGTCGTATGCTGAGGAGGCGATGTAGAGGGTGTCTGCTGTTGCGTAAGGGAGGAAGAAGAGGGAGAGGAGGGCTGGCTGGAGGTTGCGGAGGAGCGGCAAGGGGAGCATGACTTCCAGCGAGGGGCCAAAGGAGAAGCGGCGAAAAAGAGATAGAGGAATAAGTTGAGTGGAGGGGTATGTATACCCAGGATGTACACCGTGCGATGGGCTGTTGTGCAATCCGCTCCTCGGGAGAGCGGCGAAATCAGCATGATGCGCCCTTGCCCTTCACCGCCCGGCAGTGCGCAGCAGGTAAGAAAAGTTTGACACCATTGTTTCTTCTATATTCGTGCAGACCCTCTGAAGCGATCGATCCTTGCAGGTGAGAAATAGGCTATCAATCAGCACGGGATGCCAGCGGTCAGCGAAAAGAGCACACTGGGACCATGTGCTCACGTTCTGCCGCCTCAACCATCCTCCCTTACGCCCGCTTCATCACGCTGCCTCAGCGCATCATCCCCATTTCTCCATACGCGAAAGTGTGGAATGCCGGTTAATCGAGTTCATAAAAGAGGTTGAGCACATTCCGATAAGTCGTTCATTGAGTGCGCAGCGCGGTGGGCCAATTTGAGGATTATGCCGAGATGCCTTAAAACTCCCTGTGAATGTTGGATGACATGAGTCTCGCACGGATCATTTCGGGGTTGAGTGTGGGTATGGGGTGTTGCACCATGTTCGGGTTGATGTATGCACAAAATGTACACCATTGAGACGCTATAATTAGACCAATCTTCTGGATGACACGAGAGTTTGAGGAACGAAAATCCGGTCATTCAGTTCGCCTAAGTCAAAGCACCGCTCACGTCATCTCTATCAGCATATCTTCTTCCATTACTGTTTAATATGAACAAACAGAATTCTGACCTTGAGTTGATGTTAGTTTGGATTGGAGTTATAACATGCAACACATACCGCCTGCCGGTGTCGTTGCCCGTGTCACCATTGACAGGCGCACAGCAACACCCTGAGATAAACAAGCTTGGGGTCGTGTGCTTCTCTTTATCCGCTTCCGGCAATATTTTGGATCGGGCGAGATCGGCAGGTGATGCAGGGCAAGACGCAGCACTTTTCTTTGCTCCTCCTCAATATTACCTAACTGAATTACAAGCGATCGAATGACAGTACGTGAAGGATATTCTCCGGTCTCGAACTTTGCAAGTTAGATGACAGGAATCTAAAATGCCCTTAAACGGAGATTCCATATATGATACTCAGGTACGGACCTCGTTGTGTGGTTGTCCACTTCCGTAGCACCTAGACATGGGACGAGGTGGCCGCCTCGTTAGTAAGCTGAACCCGGCATACCAATTCCCAGCGCTCTCATGTCCGAGCAATTGGTGATGGCAAGCTGCAAAGGAGAAAATGCTGCCAAAGCAACATCTCAGCGGACCGGGGTCCGGGGTCCTGGGGCGGTGTCATATCTGATCGGGCGTCAAACGTGTACTGTTGTTGTTTTGTTCTCAGCTCTGCCTCTTCCATATGCATGTACAGATCTCCATACCCCCTCTCTGTCCGAACCGCTATACGAATATAACTTGAGCTGATTGGATCTGTGCATCGAGCCATGATGTCCGTTGTCTGAAATCCGTGTCATCAGAAACATGAACTAGCTGAAGGCTGAACATCTGTCTGAGACGTCTCCGATGGCTGGATACCAAACGTCTACCCATGTTCGGGGTATACATACTCTTCTCGTTGTTCTTGCCGGATCTCCCCCTTCTCTGGGATCACTGTTCACGCTCTAACCAAACAAATCATGGTACTCTCCCGATCGTTGATCCTTGGATGTCTGTTCATCCTTGGCTTGTTCACGTCGATGGCAAGCTGTACCATCGCACCCCGGCGGGATCCCGTCCGCTGGCGTGTATTATCCATGACTCCCAGTTTCCAGGACAAGTGAGTCTTGACAACTCCAGAATATCGGAAGGACTAGCTAATCCCGAACTCACGGTTACATAGTATCAAAAGCACAGGGCAGTTGGCCAGCGGAGCGGCCTGGGCCGGAACTGCACCTTGGTGTAATGGACGGTGCAACTCTGGAGAGCTACAAGTCGCGGTTGCCTCTGAAGGAAGTCCTGGTATGTTTTCCTCTTAGTCTACTCATAATAACTGTTGATCTTGTTAGATCTGATTATCTCTACTTCCCCCTTTGGTTCTGATTGCCTCTTTGGAAGCAAAGCTCTGTGTACAACGCAATATAGTTCTTGTCAGCCAACTCGCAATCTATAGAGGCTTTCCCGATTAACCCAGTCCAACAGGCACGCTCTCCAGCACCACTCTTCAAATTCAGTGTAGCAGTACCGCCGCTGGTCCTGGGGGTTTCTATTCTACCTACAAGCTCACGGGGTGAGTGCCTTCCCAAAAAGATGGTCCCAGACGCTCATTGGGCTTCCAGCTGTTCCTGGGTGAATCCTGGTCCGCTTTGCGCCAGTTCGAGCACTCGGGCTGTCGCTGTTCGCACGACGGCGTTCAAGACAACCCCGTGGGACTATAGTGGGCCGTTATTGCTTGACGCGAACGTTGAGGTATCTTGTTGCGCATGAGGGGGTTTGATGGTCATAATAGGCACAAAGGATAGCAAGGACAGTGATAATTCAAAATTGGCACACAGATATCGGTGAATGCACCCCATTATCACACTGAGAACGCCGAACAAGTCAGCCTCACACACATGACAGAATAGAAAACCGGGAACTTACTTGATGATCCGATCACAATGCTGGTGCCATTACTGGGCCTCATAACTAACACGGAAATTGTCCAGCCCAGAATATTTCCCATTGATACGGTAACATGCGAAAGATAATGCCAAGAAAACGCGATACCACGTCCAGGTGTCCGGGGTCCTATCATTCCCCGCGCCGCTATCATGATCTCTTTTTTCTGCTTCTTGCAATTGTGAACCTCTTGCTGAGGGTATCCGACCATCGGCATTAACATAAGACTTCTCACTGTATCTCTATGGGAGGAGTCTTTGAAATCAATCTCATCGCAAGCTACGATTCAATGAAGGCTGGAACTCCCAAAGACTGTCTCTGAGGATCGTGGCTGAACGCCGTCCATATCTACGCATATTTGCTTGGTGCCTTCCTCGCTGACTATTAAACTTTGGCAACCAAGTTATTATTGTTTTGACTTTGTCGAACGAAGCAAGTAGACATCCCCCCTTGCTCTTCTCCAACATGTACGGGTTGTTCCTCACCTTCGCGCTATATGCGTCCATGGGGAGTTATGTTATCAGTCCAATGGTCCCGACCTTGGAGGACAAGTAAGTTATCTGAAACCCCCTCCAACCTCAATGATATCTGACACGCTACTCGATGCTTAGCATTCTTACTGCAGGGCTCTTGTCAGGCGGGGCTACGTGGGCCGGAACGGCACCTGTATGTGAGGGAGAGTGTAACCCCGGAGAGCTGCAAATCTTCGCCACTCCTGATGGAACACCTAGTAAGTATAACCTTTCTATAGCTTGTCTTCAGGCCTTACTGACGATACCTCGATTTGGCTTGATGGGCTTGCCACGGTGTCTCCCTTCGGGTCTGGTTGCTTCTTCGGAGAGAAAGCCTTCTGCACAACTCAGTATCACTCTTGTGAACCCACTCTATGCGGTCATTATTGCTCCCATGATTGACACTGAGCAACAGGTTCCACTTCCAATGCCGTCCTGCACATTGAGTGCACCTCAATCGCAAGGGGGGCACTAGTACTCCTGTGGAAGTACACGGAGTAAGAACGTCGAGATCAAGGTGTCATTGATACTCAATTGTCACACAGATGCAAGCTGGTAAACCCCGTCCCTTTGTGTGCTGACCCGACCTCTCGAGCAGTCCTTTCTCGTACGACGGATATAAAGCCTCCTTCTATTGATGACGGCGGGCCGTACAGGCTTGAGGCACAAGTTGAGGTTTTGTGCTGTGTGTGAGCTGGATATATTGCAAAAACCACGTGCGCCGGAAAATACAAGCGCAAGTGGGTGTAAGGACAGGCAGTGATAGTCCGAATCAGGACCAAAATAATGAATCCATCGTACACATTCCCCTTTCCTCTCCGATGAGTCCAGAACAAGTACAAGAATGAACGTAAATGAATCAGCACTTCTCTTTCTCCGTCTTCTCCGACGTATCTCCGATCATCGCACGTCGGCGACTCGCGCGACGTCTCATCGTTCTGCTGAGCATAAATACCAAACCAACAAACATCAAGAGAACGACGCCGAAAGTGACATAGACACTTTGTGGGTAAGCATTTTCGGCCAAGAACACCCACACATCAGCGATGTAGGTGGCTATTGTGACGGGCCCCACGCGCGGGTGTGCGGGAAGGGGTACGTACTCTCGAGCATCCTCATCCAAAGGACGTGGCGTGGAGATGAGCAAGAGTTCCTGGGTCAGGAGAGCATGCAGTCTCCCCCAGAAAGATTTGGGTGTCGCCGGGAAGAGGGGGTAAGGTGGTGCGAGGGAATTTGCTGGGCGAATTGGTGCAGGGGCGGGTCCATTCACTGGAGGAAGAGGATCAAGCACCACCCCTGCAGGAAACTGAGGCAGACTTGTTGGCCCAGGGTGCCCTATAACACATCAGCCGTGCATTCTGTTATTGGTAGGTCAGGGACGTACAACGAACTTCTCGGAGAGCCGCTGCGAAGTGGTCCCAGCGGATCCACCCTACCAGGACTTTCGACGTCGGCCCTGCTTTCTCTAATGCCGCCTCACCCTCCCAGCGCTTGGGAACAACATTATAAGTCTGCTTGGTGTATGGCTCAGGCGCCCGATTAATCGGTCCTTCCCATGAGATAGACACCTCTAACCACTTGCGCCGCCACTCAGATCCATCCTGGACGCACCGGTCAACGGCCGTGAGCCACTCATTCACGTTCCGTATTACCCATCGTGAGGATGGGCTATTAGGCTCAAGGACATAGAATCGGGTGCCGCAAAAGGTCGTGACAACCGCATGGTAAGGGATACTCCTAGCGAATATGGTTTCGTTGGTGTAGATCCAGTTAGCGTGGGGAGGCACGCCGAGGACGGAATGAGCGGGAGCATCTTCCTCAGGATGAATAATTGAGTCCTTGAGTGGCACAGGCGGAGGTATACCGGGTTGGATCGCTAATCCGACATCAGCTCGCAACCCACCAGAAGCTGATTAAATTTAAATTCAGCTCCTTTTGTGAAAGCACCTAACAAGGACGTACCTTTCATATCCCTTACTGCGGTGACGAAGTCGTCGAGTCCGATACTCGGCCCTGGGGGTGGAAGCGCCTTCTCTCCCTGTTCTACCCAATGCTGGGTGACGATGAAGTAATGCTCATGGGGAAGGGCAATCTCCGTCTCGGAAAGAGAGATATGTATCCAGTCCTTGGGTATGGTCGAAGCGCTGCGCGCGCAGGCTTCGATAGCGGACAGCCATTTGTCTACGGCTGTAAGGTGGTCGGGTCTGCCAAGACGTGGGATATAGGCAGGTTGCAAGCGGTATTTCTGGCCAGGACAGTAGGCGGTGATCCAAGCCGCGCGGGCCCAGGTGTCGGGATCGATGCTCTTCAGTGGTGAGTTGGATTTGGTTGCAGGGGCGACAGCTGGCCACCCGGATCCGCTTAGGTCTGTCGACAGTTAGCTCGACCCGCAAAGGTTTCAATCAAGACCTACTTGGGACAGTACCCCTCATTGCCCTTTCGAAATCTCCTAGTCGGATCCTCAACCCAGGCGGGAGGGGCGCATTCTTCCTCTCCTCCCAATACCGCGTGATGATATAATACTCTTGATGCGGTCTGGGAGCTTCCATTCCCAGCTCTGAACTTTCAGCCCAAACGAATGCGACATACACCCAATCCTCTCCCATAGCCGACGCTTTCTGCACGCAGGGGTGCACGACAGAGAGCCATTCGTTGAGGTTCGTCAACGGTTGGGAGGATTCGGGCACACCGGGAGGCGCATGGTAGCTCGGCTGCAGGCGGTACTGTTGCCCTGGACAGGAGGCGATAGCATATGTGTCTCGAGCATGCTGCCAGATCTGAGGGTCCATGTTCTTCGGAGCCCATGTGAAGTGAGGCGGAACGGCAGGATAGGGGTGGGTGAGGCTGGTTGGCCTGGTGGTGAGATTCGGATTGTCCGGATCATTGGGGGAATTTGATTCGCTCGGAGGTGTAGAGTGATCGATGTTGCCAGATGTCCCGACCAGATGAGGGTTCATCACTTCCTCACAAGTCGGCCCTACATAACCTGTTAAACCAAGACCTAACAGAGAGGCACCACAGAGCATAATACGTACATCGAATAGCCTGCATCGCCCGTTTATACAACCAAAACTCGAGCCACTCCCCGTCCTCCCGCCCGCCTTTCATTTCTTTCTCCGTTCCTTCTCGTCCCACTCCGTACTTGGTGAACCACTGTGGAGTCTTGATCAGCACGGGTGTGCCGTTCTCCTTCCCAGTGCGGTCGTGCCACGTAATGGTGACGACCATACAGTCCGGTGCTGGGAAGGTGAGGGCATCGACGGCCTGTAAGAAGCTGCCGAGCTTTTGCTCCAGGTTTCCGGGAGGGGACGTTGTGCTACAGTCCTCAAGGCGGAGGATGCGCTCGTCCTGGCCACAAGTAGCGCGGATGGAGTTGAGGACTAGACCGTCTTGAAAAATATGAGGCTGCAGAAGTTCGGTTGCACGTTTGGTCTGGAGGGCGACGCCAGGAAACGTGTCCAGCCCGGCACCCGAGAAATCGGGTTGGCAGGAGTACCCTGGGGTCGTGAGCGAGGGAACATCACTGCAGTAGGGTAACGTACATTCCCATTGCAGCAGATTGGATTCAAACGCCTCCCAAGTCACGGTATCACCTCCTGCTTTCGCCAGAGCTGCGCCCTCTTTCATCTTTACCAGCACGTCCGACCCGACACGTCCGAATGCCCCATAGAACTTCACTTTGATGTAGTCATCGTTACACTGTGCTGAAGACTGCTTCAAATCGGTTAGGAAAAGGGATACGGGCGCGACTAGCTCGCTAGGGCTCGACCGGTCGCAGAAGTTTCTACGATCGAAGGATACGAGAGGGAAAGAGGAGGAAGGGCAGGAAGCGCGCAGGAGATAGACACGCGGGCCACGTCGAGGGATAGGGAATGGGGTGCTTGCCAAGGGTTTGGAGGGGGGTGTGCTGTGGATGAGAGGTTGCATCCCTGCTGAAGGTCAGTAATGCAACAAGGGAAGTAAAGCCGCATACAGGTCGCCCTCTCCAGAATGCGCAGTAGCTCATCCCAAACAATCACTTCCCGCCCTGGATGAACAGGTTTCTCCAATTTCTTCTGTGCTTCTCCGGACTCGCCGGTGCCTCCCTGTGCAGGGATATAAACGTACTCGAGCTGTTGTTCCTCATTTTCAACCGCGACCTCCACCCATTGACACCCATCGTCCCAAAACCGTTGGAATCCCTCTATCCACTCTTTCAGGGAAGATCCATCCTCTCCCAGAGCAGGTACGGCCTGAATCGGCTCTGAGAAGCGGTCGAAACATTGAGCATGGAGGGAGACGATTGACTTAAGAGGGGTTGACAGTAAAGGTACAGACGCTGGGAATGGCACTTGTGCGAGCACTGCCATTGCTCATGGGTGAGTGAACAGAGGGTATCGAGTGCCCAGAGATGGCGGTTATAAGCAGAGGAGTGTGGGTATCATGGGCATCAGAGTGCTATGGTGAAGCTGTTAGAACAGTGATGGATGGACCCTTCGTGACTGGACAAAGTGTTGCTATCGGAGTTTGGCGGATCGGGAATAAAACCTATCGTTTGCATTCCAGAGGAAAAATCCGACCTTCTCGACCCCCCACCTCTGCTTTTGTTACTCTGCACCAATGAATACGGTCATAATCAACTTATTAATAACTCAGTGAATTCATATGGATGAAAGATGAAATTGACACAACGAGAGGCCTTGGTAAAGAGCGAGATTATGCGTAGTGTCGAAGTACGCACGTCCCACACCTTGCCTTCACACTCAATCTGATGGTTGCTTGCAGATTCGCTGGGTATCATATCTGACTTAGAGCCAATATTCCACCATACGAGCTATTTTCTGCCTACTAGTGTTAACCTAAGTATCTTGTTCTAAGTGCCTTCCACGTGGAGTGCCTGCCTGCCCACACGACGTCAGCCCTCGAACAGCTAATAGGTGCTCTGTGCAAAGTCTGGAACAGCATGTCTTGCAATAACGGTGGCTTACAAGAGTGCCCACTCGGAATGCCTGATAAACACACGTGATTCTCAGCCCGTGAGCTGTATGCTACGCTGGAGCAACAACATTCCCAGACACCCAATCGGCGAACCCATCCAGACGATGTCAAGCTATTCGTGATTCACCTCGACAACAACACGCCCCTCATCTCGTGCCGTTCAAGCCGCGAATCACTTGCCATTCGGCTTGCAGCGTGGCTCTGTTCTCCAACCCAACCCTGTCATTTTAGGGGCTTGGAGGTGTCGTCCTAACCCGCCATCTCCACCATGGAGCCCCATCTGAGACACAACATCGCCGGCCTTTGTTCGTAGCGGCATTCGCAGCCCCCAGTCTCACAATATCGTGGCCAGCCAAGTAGACCTGGTTCTCAAATAAAGGTAACTTCGAACACGACATCCTGCTGGAGATTTCGTCCATCATACCTCCGCTTCCACGCCTGCCATCATGATGTACGCATTTCTCTTCATTCAACTTCTGTTGGCGGCCATGTCAAACTGCACAGTCCTTATGGAGCGGGGTACCAAACTGGACACTATGGAACCAAGCCTGGCCACGAAGTGCGTACCTTTCCTTTCAGCGAGAACAGAACGAACTAATCACTGGCTTGTGCCGCTCCAGTCTTGCGAAAGTAGGTCTCTTGTCGAGTGGGGTATATTGGAGTGGAACGTCCCCTTGGTGCAAGGGAGAGTGCAAGGCCGGAGATTATCAAATTGTCGCTTCTTCGGCAGGAAATCCCTGTACGAGTCTCGACCAACACCCTGGTGACTCTTCTGACTATTCCATTGCGCATAGCTCATTACGCCTCCCTATCCAACTTCGGGTCTGCCTGTTTGATTGGTGAGAAAACCCTGTGCAGTAGCGTCTACCGCTCTTGCAAGTCCCCTTCCCTCGTCTTCCGATATCTCGTTGCTGAATTCTGGGCCAGGTACGATATACGGTACCACTTTGCAGTTAGAGTGCGAGAAGCGCGGCGGGACGCTTCCGGGCCTTGGTTGGAACTACGAAGGGTAAGCAGTTCGCAACCATCACCCATTGAAATGTTACTAAACTTTTGTTTTAGTTGCAGCTTGAAGAATCCTGGCCCGTTGTGCACCTCCTTCCCAGGCTCTCGCACGGTTCTCGTTCGTGTTACCAACCCATTGAAGCAGATTGGGAGCTCTACAGACCCATATACGTTTCAGGCAGATGTTAACATATATTGCTGCAGTTGAGGTATATTAGTAACGATGGTATACAGCTCCATGAAATATACGTTATCCCGTTGTCCCCCAATGTCCCTCCTGATGTCCGCCGATGCCCGATGGAAATGCACGTGCGTTGTGTTTGTCCAGTCACAAAGGGTCCATGGCATCCTTCCTCTTCTCTGTCGGGCGACAACAGCTCACCGTACTCTGATGCCTACCATAGCCATGTACCTCTGCTCACAACCACCATCTGCGAGCATTTGATATCCTCTGCTCGCTGCCCATTGAGTGATGGCAGCACCGGCACAATCGCCGTTCTCCGCACCCGTATCGTCAACCTTCTTTCCTCTCAAGCCAAGCCAATCACTTCCCTCCATGCGCACTGTTTCGACATCCCCTCACCCCCGATCCATGTCACTCCCAGCCTGGGAGAGGATGGGTGCTCCCTTGAAGAGTGGGTGACGGTAGTTGAACAGCTTTGGGAGGACGGGTGTCATTGGGTTGAGGTCTCGGTTGAATATGAGGAGCGGCAGCTGGAGAACGCTTATGTTCCTGTGCAGGGAAGCGCCGAAAAGAGGGGGAAAGCACAGGAGGAGTTGGAAGAGCTTGTGCATCCAACGGGAGAAGTTATTGTATGGGATGAGCTACTTCTTGCGCTAGAAGGAGCAACCTGTATGTGCATGGCTTCGCTCTTCGACACAGCTAACTTTGTGAAGGGACCACACGTCTCCCCAAAGATCATCCAATCCCCGACATACCAGTCTCCGACTCCTTGGAAGACACATCATTCCCTGTCTCCCAACGGTACCCACATGTCTGCCTCCTACGCGCGTCCTGCTCGTCCTCCTCCGCCCCTCTCGTATCCCTCGACCGTAGACGCTTCTGCGAGCTCTCCGAGCCTCGGCAGCTGGTCGTCCCCGTAGTCCGTTTTCTAGCCGAGTTGAAGCAATCTCAATCAAAATGCGACGACGGCGTAATCAAAGTGAAGTTTTACGCCGCTTTCGGGCGAGTAGGCCCAGACGTGCTGGTGGAGATGAGAGAGGACGCGTCTGAGGGGAAGCCAAAAGGTGCCGTCTTGAGCTGGGATGCGTTCGAATACCGTTTGCTGAATTGGAAATGTACGTTCCTCCAGTACATTGCGCTCCCCTCGCTCACGAACCCAGGGCACGCCTGCCCACCAGAGATGTGGGATGACTGGCTGGATAAGGCCCCGGCCTTTGCCGCGCAGATTGCGGAAGCCAAATCCTTTGTCGATGGCCATATCTGGACTCGCATCGAGAACCATATGCTGAAACAATCACTATCTCTCAGTTCTATCCGCGCCGTCTGTGGGAATGACGAGCTTGTCTTCCGTCTCGAGTACTGCAGCACGACTTACCCTCGTGGAAACTTGATGCAAGGGGTCGCAAGCTTCGTGCGGGCTGTTGAAGCCCTCACGTTCCCCGCACCAGAATGTTCTGTGGTCACTATCACATGGCACGACCGTAGGGGGAAGGAATACGGCACTCCTGTGCTGCTCAGAACTGATAAATGGTTCATGAGATATGGAGACCTCGGGGGGGATCGTACAGCAACAGAGAAGGATATGAAAGGTGGGAAGAAGGATGGCATGTGGTTTGAGTTCTGGCTATTCAGGCGGGCGATGAAAGTCGCGAGATGTACGTATAACTTTCGGGTACCCTAGTCTTGGTTTAACACATTATGTAGGGCCGACTTGTAAGTAAGTGATGAACCCTCTTCCGCAAGTCGAGTCTCCCGGGTACGCAGAGAAGCCTTCCTCGCCCAGTAGCTCAGATTCTCCCAATGTTGCTCGTGTGGTCTCGATTTGGTGATCTCGATTTGAATTGTTCTGGATTTGCTGGATGAGGAAATATATGCTCAATGGTTCATTGTCGTTCAGCTCCTGATTTGTATCATCATGTTCGTTTCTCAGGCTAGCTCTTGTGTTCTGTAATATATCCCAGCTCATGCGCAGTGGGATACAATATCTGGACATTTGCCTCGACCAACAATAATATAGCTCAGTCGGAGTATCGGAGTTAGCACTTTAGCATCGGGAGTAACTGAACCCTTTGCGATTCAGCATTGACGGGTATATTCTTTGAGGTGAAAACCACCAATGCGTCTATCATATCCTGCGAGGCTAACTCAACTCCTTCCCTACCGTCGACCCACACATTCTAAACATTCTTGTCTCCCAGAGTGTGAATATCAGATGCACTTTGTCCAACAATGGGTGCGGTCGTATTGGACAAAGGATGGGGGCGCTTGATGTACGCCTGCTACACCCCCAGCTCCTGGACATGACATCTGACCCTGACTTCGCAGACCGAATTGCATTCATATTCAGTTTGAAGACAACGTCCCACGTTGAGCTGTCACCCTTCAGGGGTTGTCGGAGGCTTCCCACTCGTCACCAGCCATCTACTATCCGAAGCACGCCCTCTAACCGAATGTCACACCGCTCTGGTGGCTGGAATTGGTGGGATTTCGGCTTCCGCGCGCGTGGGTACTGGCATATTGTTTGAGAGAATCTGGCGTGAGTCGGTTGCTTAGCCGGATCCCCCATCTATTAAAAGTGTGAAGCAGACGATTCTGTTACACAACTATTACTTCTCGCAACCACAGGAACGGTCATGTATTCCATCCTCGTGCATGTGTTGCTCGTCTCTGTCTTGGGATGCGCTGCCTCGTCGCTGCAGTCCCGTGAGATCCCGATCCATGACACTATGAACCCAGACTTGAATACCCTGTAAGTGGGCGCTATCATAGTCATGAGTGACAAACCTGACAGTTGACCGTGGGGCCTTATTAGTCTTCAGCAAGCAGGAGTCTCTTTTGGTCAAGCGTCTTGGGAAGGAACCGCCCCATGGTGCAAAGGAGAGTGCAGCGCTGGAGATCTGCAAGTTGCGGTTCTATCCGAGGAAAATTCCAGTATGTGTCCTTCCCAATGATAAGATGGGTCATGCTATGGATCCAGTGCTCACGATCGTCAGATTGGATCGCTACCCAGTCCAATTTTGGATCAACCTGCTTCATTGGAGATGAAGCGTTGTGCACCAGTGCATATAACAAATGTAAGCTACTTCATGTCCTTCATATCATTCCCTTTCGCTCAACCAACTTTCCCAGGTACGACATCTACTGTAAGCCTTCAGTTCCAGTGCGCAGACGCTGTTCACCCAGCTCGCTCTAACTCATGGATCCTGAGCGGGTAGCTAATCCCCTTTTCAATATGTGGTCGTCTTATACTCACACTGCTTGTAGGTGCGAACTGATTAACCCAGGCCCACTATGCTCTGCTCCGAGCTCTACAGTCATGGTTCGCTTGCTCAATCCTCCGAAACGGAGTGACAGCAACGCAATAGGTCCCGGCACTTTCAGAGCAGATGTGGAAGCGTCGTGTTGTACATGACCCAGCCTTGTAGATCGACACTGACTGGCGAGCAACATATGTACTTCTTTGCCTCTGGACCCAGTGGTTCACAGGCAACATTGTAAAATGGACGATATCTGCTCGACTATTTTCTCGGGTGCGCGTTTCCCAAATCGTGGTTGCGGCCAAGCACAGGGTCGATGTACTAGCCCGCCATCTCGGCTGCTCTTCATGCCGCCAAGTCGCCTCCTGGTCTGCATTCCTCATGGCATACACACTGGTGTCTTACTCTGTTTCACGCGCCCTTCTGACCAAGGTGTTTGCTCAATAAATGCGGCTGATCATGACACGATGTCAACACCCGTCACTCATGAAAGCCTCGCTTATCACGGTCGTGTTCGTAGCCCTGGCAAGCTGTGCGGTTGTCACGGAGCGGAGGCTGCAGCACACTTTTGATACCATGAAACCCAACCTGCGTGAGAAGTACGTCCTTATTTTCTTCCCTTAGAAGGGACTTTGCGCTAACGCCTGTCTTATTGACGTTCTCTACCATAGCCTGCAGCAGGCAGGGCTGCTGTTCGGTGGGGCTTCTTGGGTTGGAACTGCGCCTTGGTGCAAAGGAGAGTGCGCTGTTGGAGAAGTCGAAGCGGCTGTTGCCCCTTCAGGACATTCTAGTATGTATCTCCTTAAGTTCTTCTCAGGTGGTGGCGGGTGCCAACTTTGCACAGCCCATTACGCGTCCCTGTCCAACTTCGGCGGGGATTGTTATATTGGAGAAAAGGCACTTTGCACAAGCCAATATTCTTCTTGTAAGTCGTGTGACATACAGTATTTTGACGTGGTTCCAAGTTCCCCACAAAGGTACGACCACCAGCACGACTCTGCACTTCGTGTGCGCTTTGGGCTATCCATCCATACCAGTTCCAGGTTGGACATATGAGGGGTAAGTTCGCGTTTGCAACAATGACTGCTCCAGAATGCATACTCATCATCGTCGTAGGTGCAGCCTGAATACCGCTGTTACGTTGTGCCCTAACCCCAGCGTCCGCCCCGTCTTCGTCCGCCTTACAAACAATCTGCACCGAAGTGGAAAGATACCAGGGCCCTTCGCTCTTCAGGCAGATGTTGAGGTCGCTTGTTGTGTATGAAGTACTTGGTATGAAGGGAACGGGAATCACATCCAGCACCGTTTGAATGTGTCTTGATTGGATCAAGAACCCAAGACGTGTACAGCCTCCTGTGGTCTTCGTTGTCAGCCATCTCCAGAATAGTTTCCGTGCCACACACCATCACAAGTGCCCCCAATGCCCTCGGATCTTCTGAAGCTCACTCTGCGTGCCTGCCAAGTAACTCGATGTAAGGAAGTACTTCCATTCGTCTTTCCGTCAAAAGCATGATCACAACCGACATTGACCCGCCATCAACGACAACGATGTATGCCTTTCGTTTCATGCCTGTTCTTTTCCTCGTCTCAACCTGCGTTGGTGTCGTTTCTCACGTAAGCTTCAGCCCGAGTCTAGGCGACCAGTGAGTGACGTGTATTCTTGCTGAACGGGGTGTCACGAGCAAGACCGTTAATGCACGCCTCTGGTCAGACTTCGACAGATAGGGCTTGTATCAAGCGGCGCAACTTGGATAGGGACGGCGCCATGGTGCAAGGGGGAGTGTGCTCCTGGAGAATTGCAAGTTGCAGTCTCGTCCGGCAGGGAAGCTGGTACGCACATGGGATATCACCCTCTCAGCGATATGTTGAGCTATAGACCGCTTTTCGAAGTCACCACCTCATTCAACTTTGGTTCCACATGCGCAGTCGGGGAAAAGGCCCTGTGTACTTTTGAATACCGCTCATGTAAGGCAAGACCGAGGCTTATTTGCCGAGCTAACAATGAGATTTCGCCGGCAGGCACAAGGGTCAAGTCCAATATGGTCATCCGATGCAAGGTAAGTTTGCCTACCTTGAGGCTCCCATCTGTCAACCATTACGAGTAAGTTTCCGTTCTCGATCCGACATTGTGAGCACCCTGCTGAAGGACTTCTTAGCTGCACCTTGATCGGCGCTGACTCACTCTGCGGCGATTCAAGCGGTCGCGCATTGATGGTTCGACGAACCAGCGGATTTCAGCAGCGTTCCAGCGAGAGTGGTTTTGCTGTTCTTGCGGCCGACATGGAGATATCCTGCTGTAGTTAGGGAGCCAGTAGCTCAGCATCGTCCAAGGCCAGCTATTTTCGAACACCAGCGGGTCTGTTCACTCAGCAAGCAGTTGAAGCGGAAATCAATCATCAGAGCAGATATCAACTTCGTCAATCCAGCAGAAGCGCGAATAGTATCACTATACTTGAGGTCGCTCTTCATGGGATCGTACTGGTATAATTCGGGCAAGAGGAAGGAAGGTGTTTCGGGGTCCTAGGGCCCCCGTGAAATATTTTTGCAAGACCCCAGAAGGTCTCTAGCGGTAGACTTTGCTTCGCCTCTTTCACTCTCAGGTTATCAAGTCACTCAGGTTAATATTCTCCATTACTGTTTTGCTGGCAGGTCCGAATGGGCATGCGGAGGTGTCTGTATTCTGTATTGTTCTGAAACAGATGTTGCGACAGTGACTCTTTCTGCTTGTGGCTGACTCAAACAAAAGCAGCTTTGCGTCTCATCGAGCTGGTGGCTGGCTGGTCTATCACTGTGTTGGTGTCGCGCGCCTCCTTGGTGCACGTCTCAGGGGGCTGTATTTCTTCAACTTGCTCGCCGTTTTCAAAGCTAGCGTCAACGGAACTGCGGGTGACCAACGCATGGCGTTGTTCCACTTCATGGCGTCCGGCTCGCACCTCCGACCGGGGAAGGCGGTGTTCTTGAGTCAACTGTACGGAGTGTTCCAGCACGACTCTGATTAAGTCGCGTCTATTTGGATGACTGCTGGATGTGTGTCTACTCTCATCATGCATGCTGTTCTGCTCTTCCAAGTCTTGCTCGCCTTGCACGTTAGCTGCACAACAATAACACCTCGAGAATGGTTTCATAACGTTGGGGGTATCACTCCAACTTGGACCGAATGGTATGTCCTTTCTTTTGTCACCTTTCCAAGCTGCCACTCAGCTCTGTCTTACCGTTGTGTCTTCTCAGTGTCCAACAGTCGGGGATATTGTCCAGCGTAGCAACTTGGAGAGGAACAGGACCGTTGTGCAAAGGGGAATGTAATCCTGGAGAACATCAGCTTGCAACAGCGTCTGGAGATGCCGGCTGTCCGTATGCTCTCCGATTGTCCTATATGAGAAAACTCACATCGCCATGTCCAGTTGCAGCTACGACGGACTTCGGTTCTTATTGTTTCATCGGGGAAAAGGCAGCATGCACTACTGAATCTTGTGAGCTAATCTCTCATCGCAACCTTCAGGTAGCCAAGTCAGCTCAATTTCATCAATTCCAATCAGGCACGAGCATCATGAGCACTCTCAAGATCCGCTGTTCCAAGAGGTCTGCACGATACCCCATTACGGAGGCCAGGTACCTGGAGTGAGCACACTCAATGATCTTCCCTATATTATTCTAAGAACGCATACAGCTGCACAGTAGATGGCCAACGACCGACGTGTCCCGATTCAAGCTCTCACTTGATCTTCATTCGTCAGGTCGAAGGTCTCGAGGCGACTTCAGGTGACGATAGGAGTGGGTATCTGCTTCAATCGCCGGTTGAGCTATCCTGCTGTGTGTGAATTCAGTGCTTTCAGGCGATTGGAATTATACATAAGCCATTCTCATGTCTCGACCTTACCCTCTGCCCTCTCAGATATGCCGTGCGGTACCGCGTCGGCATGCCGTGTGTAACGGCGAACGTATACCCTTGTGTCTAAACCGGATCAAGGCAGCTCTTTGTCTCACTATAGGTGGCTGGTTCACCATCGGATTCCACCTTTCATGGCGCCCATTGACGGATTGCAAGCCGGGGTGAGGACCAGCCATCACCGAGGGCTGTAAGCTCTGCTGCTTGTGGCTGGGCGTCAGAGCACTAAGATCGATGTTTCAACGCACGATTGCTTTGGCGAGCGCTCACAACGTTTCCGTGAAATAAAACAGACCCGGACTACTACCTCCTAGACTAGAAGCTCTCACCATGCTCGCCGCCCTCGTCTTTCAGCTCTTGCTCGGCTTACAAGTCAGCTGCGCCACGATGGCAGCTCGAGATTACTTTCCCAACGCTGCGTCTATCACTCCAACCTGGACCGAATGGCACGTCATTCTTCTCTGCGCAGAGAGGTGCTCGGCATTGGCTGACCGTACATGTCTTGTTAGCGTACAGCAATAAGGAATGTTGTCCAGTGGAGCCACTTGGAGAGGGACAGCGCCGTGGTGCAAAGGGGAATGTAACTCCGGTGAACTGCAACTTGCAGCTGCTTCGGGGGACAATGGCGGTACGCCCGTTTCACAAGCATGCGTATTGTATATCGAAGCTGACACCGTTTAGTTGCAATCGCATCAGGCTTTGGGGCCAGCTGCCTCATTGGAGAAAAGACGGCGTGCACCAGCCAATACCGCTCTTGTAAGCCGCTGTCTATTTACGGCCTTTGATCAATCTCACCAAATTTCTCCAGGCACAACCGTGTCCACCACTCTCAAGATTCGCTGCCTTACCAGGTATGGCCTGTTTCCTGCTTCAGAGGCCAGATACGCCCAGTGAGTTTTCCCGTATGATCATCATGATATTTCTCAGCCAGACTTCAGGTGCGCAGCAGATGTTCCCATGGCTAAGTGTCCCAATTCCAGCGCTCGTACAGCCCTTGTTCGCCAAACGGACGGTCTTGTGCATATTTCGAGCGACGAAGGGGGTTTTGTGTTTCAATCAGGTGTCCAGCTGTCCTGCTGTGTGTGAAGAATTGCAAAGATTGGAGATCGGACATCCTAATCCTCTTTCGATATCTCCATTCCATCACTTGACTGGGCATGTGCGTGACGACAGCAATCGATGTATTTCGCAGGAGGGTACGAGTCACTTGTATTTCAGGTGGTGGCAAGAGGACTTGATGGTATAATCATACATCAGCATGCTTTATTTTGGATTGGTAAGGTTAGAAGCGGCCAGATATGATGGGAGGAATGAAGAATTGTCGCCCTCATTCCTCCGCCCAGAGGGCCCACACCCTGAACGTGTTCACCAAGAATAAATTTCCTCGCTTGCGCAATAATGCCGACAAACAACACCGATAACATCGTTGTCCACCATCTGCAATTGGTATCTATCCACTAAACAGCCAACGGGAGTAGCCAAACTCGGTCAGAGAAGTCCGGAAAATTTGTCCGGAGCGTGAGAACACCTCGTTGATCATCACGCATTCGACTCGTTTCGGCCGACTGGACGGTCTGCAGTGCGGCTCTCAACTTGCCCACCATCCTCGACGTTCACGATGGCACTCGTCCAAGATTCTGTGCCATCCAAGGCTGAAGAAGCTGCCGGTGTGCACACTCCGATACAGGACGATCCTGGTTGGACACCGCAGGAGGCGAGTAGGGTGTTGTGGAAAGTAGATTTGCTGCTTATGCCTGTCCTTACCTTTTCCTATGGCCTGCAATTCGTGCGTATCTCCTTTCACTCCGTGTATCCAAATGCTGACACGAGAATAGTATGACAAGTTCGTCTTCTCGAGCGGGGCGCTGTTTGGAATGCTTGCGGATCTGCAGCTGCAGACGTCTGTGCCTGGAACGAACACGATGAGCACATTACGATACTCGACCGCGTGCGCATGTAACACTATGGATCTCTGGGTATTACTGACATCTATGGCGTTGAAGCACTGCTGCCTTTTATTGGGGTTATATCGTCGGCGTGCTTCCTATCGCCCTCCTTCTCCAGCGTCTCCCGGTTGCGAAAGCGTTATCGACACTGATCTTCGTACGTGCCGCTCTCCAATACCTCTCCGCGTTCTAACGACATACCTACCTAGGTATGGGGAGTGATCGTCATCTTAACAGTCACGGTTACCTCCTTCCCTGGTGCTGTAGTCCAACGTTTCTTCCTCGGTCTGGTGGAGTCCGCCGTTTCCCCAGGCTTTGTCCTCGGTATGCCCCTCACCCTCTCCCCTGTCCCAATCTCACCTCGCCCAGTAAGCAGCATGTGGTACACGCGCTCCGAGCTCCCCCTCCGCCTAGGCATCTGGTACTCCGCCACCGGCCTCTTTACAATCTTCTCCGGCCTCATAAACTGGGGTATCGGTTCCGCCTCCCAGACCGCGCCCCTCCCAGGGTGGAAATACATGTACCTCTTCGCCGGCTCACTCACGCTGCTCTGGTCTGTCCTCCTCCTCTTCCTTCTCCCCGACTCGCCAGCTACCAGCCACAGGTGGTTCAACGAGAAAGAGCGGAGGATACTCCTGAGCCGCATGAGGGGTAACCTAGCAGGCGCAGATAGCAGGGTGCTCAAGTGGTACCAGGTAAGGGAGGCGGCGTGTGACTGGAAGGTGTGGTTGATGGGCGCTATGGGAGCGGCGATATATGTCTGCAATGGGGGTGTGACCGCGTTTGGTAGTCTGATTATCAAAGTGCGCATGCACGAGTATCCTCCTTGGATCGAATGCTCACCCTCATGCAGTCCTTTGGGTATTCGAGCTTGCGGTCTATCGTACTCCAGACTCCTGGAGGCGCAACCACATGCGTAGCGATCTACATCTCTGGATTCCTAGCCGTACGCACCTTCCTCTCTCCTTAACAGTCCCGCTCATCCCCCACAGAGCCGATATCGTAACATCCGCTGTCTCCTGCTCGCCCTCACCTGCCTCCCCGTCATGGCAGGCGGGATCATCATCTGGCGCGCTTCCTGGCACCCTCCGGGCGTAGCGCTCTTCGGGTACTACCTGCTGCCCATCTTCGGCGCGCCGTACGTGCTCCTCCTCGCTCTGGCGAGCAATAACATCGCTGGTGGGAGCAAGAAGGCATGTGCGACTGCGGCCGTGTTCGTGGGTTATAACGTGGGGAATATCGTTGGCCCCTATCTGGTGAACACTGCTCAAGCACCGGAGAAGTACAGGACGACGTGGATAAGCATTATCGTCGTTATGTCGTTTACGATTTTCGGCTCGGCCCTCTTGGCAGTGACATGGGCAAGGGAGAATGCAAGGAGGGATCGCTTGCCACCCCCGGAGAGGGAAGAGGAAGGGACGGAGAAGGTTGGCGAACAGACTGGGAGGACCGAAACCGATTTTGGAAGTGCGGATGGGATCATGCACGTCGAGAAGGACCGCACAGATTGGGAGAATTTGGCGTTTAGGTATTCGTTATGAGAACAATCGACATTGAACGGGATTTATATGGGAACACCAAGGAATAGACAAAGGAAATAGAATGCAACAATGTCAATATCTCTGCTTGCGCAAGAACACGGTTCGAGGCACCCAACAATCGAGCCTGCTGGAAATGTCCCAAGCAAGCTGCAATTGGCGGTGACAGAATGTGCGCTGCATGAGGGCTGTCCATCAGAGGACCGCTTCGGTAGGGCAATGGGCTGGCGGACAAGAGTCTGTCCTCGAGTTCAGTTGCCTGCCTCCCCGAGAATAGTTGAGTGTGACTTGAGTCTGAACAGCCCGCCAACTGCAAGTGGTCCGCAATACTTGAACACTGACAACATTAGCCTTCCAGTAACAGTACCCTTGGCTAACTGTACAGACCTCTACGTCATCAGTGTTGAAGACATGCGTTCCACAACAAGCTCCCCAAACCCGGATTGACAGCCGCACAGAAAAGGATGGCAGGTAAAGCTGTCTGCCCCCTGGCATCCGCGAGATTGAACAGTTGCAACACACCCAGAAGACGGAAGTGAAGAACGTGGGACACCTGACGCGGACACCAATCCGTTTGACAAGGACTGGAATAGCAGAATTCGCTGTCAGTCCCGACGGCGATTGGTGTAGTCGTCAGGCGTCCGCTCAACGAGCCACCAGCATGCGAGGCGTAAACAGAGCTGCGAGATCAACCTTTTGTCGCCATTAGCTCGATTTGTAAGTTTGGAGAACGCTCTTCAGGAGATGCGTACGAGGGATGCCGGCATGGTCAGTAGGCGTGACTCGAACACTGACCGAATCCGTCTACTCGGTAACAGCCTTGAAAGACTGCATGGAGAGGGACAACCGGATCAGTGTTGGAGACATGCGTTCCCAAGTAACGGGAGCATAGGGGAACACCGAGATGGATAGGATTGGTTGACCAGGCATCGAGCACCGGGATAAGAAGTGGTTGAGTTGAGTCTGAGGAATGATACTGTGATCCACAAGGATACATCACGCCAGATGCACTGATACAAGCAAGGGAAGTGCATGTCGGATGCACAGTATCAAACGAGAGGTCAAGGGGAAGGGTGCAGATCCCTGTACCAACAGAGCGCAATCTATAGGTTTGTTGAAAGTGCACGGACCATGTCCTATTTGGACGCGGAAATAAACCCTCAATCGGCGTTAGTGTATTCCCAAAAGCAGAAACCCTGGCCGATAACTCCGACGCTGTTGTGAAACCTCCACACCAAGCACGCCAGAGCGCATACGCATATGGCAGGATGGAGTCCAGCACACCTTGAGCCTCAAGGGCATATATATGCTCTCTCTTCGTCCTACCACCATCTTTCGTCCTTCTACTCTCCTTCGTCGTTCTCTCGCGCGATCTATAGCTTACAGCAACAACAACAGCAGTATCATGTCCGTGTTCAGCACCCAGAGGCTGGAGAACAAGGTCGTCCTTATCACCGGTGCTAGTGGTGGCATAGGCGCGGTGCGTAGCTCGTTAACAGCTGCATATATGCGCTCATCTCGTATTAGGAAGCAGCGATCCTCTTCGCAAAGGTAGCCTGCCCTTCTCTTGCTAGCGAAGGAGCTAACCTCCTCCAGGCAGGATCAAATCTCATCCTCCTAGCACGGCGTGCAGACAAGCTCAACGCCGTCGCCGAAGCTGCTTCAGCAGCACACAAAGCCGCTGGCGTCCAAGCAGGGGGGAAGATCGCGCCCATCGTGCTAGATGTGTCGGATGCCAAGCAGGTCGAAGGGCTTAAAGCGAAGATCCCTGCTGAGCTGCAGAATGTCGACATTCTCGGTGCCGTCCTTCCTTCCTTGTTTAGAGTACGCGAGCTGATCGGAAAATAGTGAACAACGCAGGGTTTGTTCTGGGTGTGGATAAGATTGGGGATATTAAGGAGGACGAGATGGCCGCTATGTTCGAGACAAACGTCTACGGGCTGATCCGTATTACCCAGCTGTTCATCAAGGGTGCGCTCTTACCCTCCCACCGCCTTCCCATCCCGCATCCTAACACATGGCAGACTTCAAAGCCCGCGCCTCAGGACACGTCATCAATATCGGCTCTGTCGCGGGGCGGGAAGCGTATGCCGGAGGAGGGATCTACTGTGCTACCAAGGCTGCTGTGCGCTCTTTTAGCCAGAGCTTGCTGCGCGAAGTGGTAGATACGCCCATAAGGGTAACCGAGATCCAGCCTGGTGCGTCCATCACCTTCCTCGGGCTGGAACGCCTGATACGTGCCTGTGAATGGAGGCTGATATGGTGCGCTCAGGGCTGGTAGAGACCGGGTTCTCGGTCGTGAGGTTCCACGGGGACCAAAGTGCGGCCGACAAAGTCTACCAAGGGCTCGAGCCTCGTACGTCCCCCCCCCCCTTCCCTTTCCCCGCACGTCCTCGCTCCATGTTAGTGGCACGCTAACGGAATGCTAGTGGTCGGGAAGGACGTCGCGGAAGAGATCGTGTGGGTCGCTGCTCGCCCGCCGCACATCAACATCGCGGAACTGTTTGTGATGCCTGTTAACCAGGCGAGTCCGACGCTCGTCCATAGGCCGGGAAAATGAGTGCCTGGGATGTGCATTTGTATGGGATAGCTTGGGGATGTGGGTGTGGGTTCCGCGAGCGTTGGGACGGCAGGAAGGAGACACATGTAGACGGATAAAGAAGGAAATCAAAATAAGGGTCTGTGCTTTGCCCTTCGGAGGCCACTACTCTCCGATACGCCGGTAGCGCGGAAAGGTTGGGCGATTCATTCATTAGCTCGTGAGGCCCTCCTAAGCCTGAAAAGCCATAACCGGTCTTCCAGCGAATATTGAGTGTTTGCCATGAGGTAACAAGATCGGCCCGAAGGAGTACAGAGAGTGCACCGCCCTCCGTCCGGGATCGGCAACTCCTCGGCCCCCGAGCTCTGGGCCCAAGTCCATCATCCGAAAACAATCCATTGACATTCCACTTAGAGCGAAAATTGATTTTCGGGTGATTGTTCGACCATACCAAAGACCGAGGAATATCATTGTCTCGGCGCTTTGAACATGCGGCACTCCGGAACACGTGATACACTGCCCTTGTTTATATGGCAGTGACCGTCCCAACCCCGCTCTGTCTGCAAATAACTGAAATCTCCGACACAGGCTAATTCATCAAATTTTCATTTGTGGATCAGCTGCCAGCGTGCCTGATCCTCTCTTCATCTGAATGTTCATCACCCATGCCCCTAGGACAGAAGCAGTGCTCGCCTGCCCTGGATGAGAACGCAACCGCCCCCGCCTATCCCTCCCCCGGTCGACAAACATCCACAAAAGATCTAGCTGATCCTTGTTTGCTCAAGCGCTGGGAGATTCCGGAGGATGAGGATACTCGCTACCGGATGCTCAGGCTGGTGTGGCTAGATCCTTCTGCTACTGCTACCCGCGGCCGGCTCCTTGCCCTGCTTGCGCTCCGTGCCTTGTGCTCCACGCTCTGTTGCGTGCTCTGACGGTTGGGGGTGGACGTTCCTAGCGGCAAGATTTTCGGGAAAGGACGTATATAGGGAGGGGGGAGGGAAGCCGCAGACAGACAGACACAGACGCAGACGAGCGCTTAGTCTTTGGCTCCTCGACCCTCTACTCGAGCGCTTACCCCTTCCCTCTCCACTCCATCTCTTTTGCCTTACTCCACCGCATCATCCCTCCCTCAAAGAAAACAACATGTGCAACCTCCTCCTCTCCCGCTCTCCCTACAGGGACTGCCTCCTCCTCACCCACTCGCTCCACTTCCAGACATCGGAACTCCTCTCCCGTTGCCCCCGTGCGCAGAAACACGGCTGGGAACACTGCGGGTCTGTGAAACGTGTTGAGGTGGTGGGGAGGACGCTGCCGGGGGCGTGTGAGGCTTGTGAGATGAGGGCGCAGGGAGGGGAAGGGAGGGGTGCGACAAGCCGAAGTTGAACCTGCAGACGCCGACGGGTTTGCCGTCATAGGTATGCGAAGGGTCGGTGTTTGAGATGTATTGGAACTGATTCGAGTTGCAGCAGCTGTCTGATGCTATAGGTCGGGCGTCTGAGACGTCGAGTTCCCCAAAAAAAACCATCTCGTGGTAACATCCTCGCGCAATCACTACGACAAGCATGCGTCTACATACAAGACAACATATCCGTCCGCTCGCAGAACTACCTATCAACCATGATCAAATGCTCAACCCGAACACGCTCACATGCTTCCTTTCCCTTCCTCTCCCAAGGACATCTTCATCCCATGACTTTCAAGTTTCGGACATATTGATACCCTAAAACGATCCATACCTTGTATTCCTATGTAGTTTGGCGCTCCGTACACAACGAGAATGATACTGTAACTCACGGCCAGTGTCGGTACTTGCCCCGTTGTGGCTAAATCAAGACACAGTCTATTAAATACTCTACCATAGCTCTAAGTAGCCGCAAACTCCGCCACCATCTCTATCTATCCTCCAAGCCCCTCCCAACTCTCAGCGAGCACAGCCTACAAACCCGCAAGCTTCCCCCCAGCCAGCTCCTCAGCACCCTCGATCCCCTCCTCTCCCTCTTCCTCCCTGTATCCAATCACGACCTCCCCTCTCAAGCCAGCATCGTCCACCTGGTACACCCAGCCGTCTTTCTTTCCCCAGCCGAAGGTGCTCCTCCCTGAGGGAGGGACGTAGTCTTCCATAGCGGCGCGGACGAATTGGAGGATAGGGGTGCGGATCCACCTAACCAGGCTATGGGTCAGTAACTGCGCCAGAAGGGGAGAAAGGAGACTCGCCGTTTAGGGGGACTGCCGCCCCCTGTGAACCAACCTAGATGCCCACCACCCCTCGTCACGGCCAGCGCGCACCAGCTACTGGCTTGCGTCTCTTCCAGGGGTAGTTTATGGCCCATGATGATCGGGTCGTCATCTGCGTTCACGCCTAGGTAGGGTACGCGGATGGACGAGAGGGAACGGTGGCATGAGGCCCATTTGTAGTATGCGTCCGCGCTGGGGAAGGGGAATGGCGGGCTCGGGCCACCGAGGTGTCTAGTCTGAGCGGAGCGGGGGATGATCAGCCTAGTGTGGGGAGGGAAAGGACAGTGACGTACCACAAAGGTGTCCACGGTTTTGAGAGAAGGCGAGCGGATCCGGTAGAGCGCATCAATGTCGGGCTTGATACTCTGCCCCAGGGGGTGAGCTAGGATTTCCGACAGGTGGGGTTTGATGACCAAGCGGAGGTTGGTGCCCATGGCTTTGCTGTACGTGTTCCTGTAGAACCAGTTTCCTTCCAACCTGCGAATGATGATATTCACGTCAGTCATGCACTGAGCGGCCTAGGGGAAGGGGAGGAGAGACGGTACCTCTGAGAGTTCTTGTACAAGTCCCAAGGACAGCCGAGCGTCATCCCTGCTTTTAACCGACTGCGCTCCCCTTCTTCTCCCAAGTAGCGTGTGAGCACGCACGCTCCTAGTGAGAAGCCACTCCCGACCATTGGCGCGCCTGGGAAACGGACGGAGAGGTAGAGAAGGGCCGTGCGGAGGTCGTTCGTATACCCAGCGGAGTACAGTTGGGAGGAGGTGAGCTTCGACCCACCGCCTACGAGGAACAGATCGTGTTAGACACGGAGTAGCGAGGTGGGGAAGCAAGTACGTACATCCCCGGAAGTTGCAGACCACGCCCCTCCAGCCCCACCCTCCTTCTTCTTTAGGCCTCGTGACGACCGACAGTACGTCCCTCACATAGCTCTCATGCGACCCTCCGGCCAATCCGTGACACACGACCAAGATAGGTGTTGTAGGAGGTAAGGAAGGCGAGCCCGCTACGTCGATCGCGATGGAGCCGCCCTCTGGGACAGTGAGGATCTTACTGTTGGAGTGTTAGTAGGAGCTGAGCACGGGGTTGGGGAGTGCGAACCGGGTATAGTGTACTTGGTTTACTTTGGTGAAGTCGCCTACGACGCAGTAGGCTGTCTGCAGGTGTCCCCTATCCTCCTGCTCGTCAGCTTCATTGGGCAGAGAGGTGGAAGATGAGGGACCCGATGAGGAACCATGTAGGCTTGAACGGCTCGAACAGAGAGGGCACGGCTTGCTTAACAAACGCTGCAATAGACAGTTTCTCTGTCCTTTCTGTTCCTTCTATGATGTCTTTCTCCTTGTCCGCGCCGTTCGGGACTGTACCGTTTGCTGCTGTACTGGAAGATGCGAGTATGTCGAATTCTGTTGGTGTAGTTGGAACCCAGAGTCTAGCTGGTCCTGATATTGCGAAGAGAGACGAGAGGAGAGAGAAGAATGCGCCCATGGTGTGTTGCGAGTGGAGAGTTGGGACTGTCGTCGACGATGATGACGGCTAGATATATGCGCTGGCAGCGGACAGGAGAAGAAGAGTTTACACAGTGTGATACGGCAACGATGTTGTTCTTCTCTGCCGCCATCTGAATTACTCTTTGACAACACCGCTTTGAATGTCCTCGTCGTCTCTTGCCTCGCCTCCGTCGTCTGCTCGATCAATATTAATCCTTTGCCTTGTCCATCGCCGACTCGGGGCAGGACGATATATGACCGGTAATCCACCAAACGCCAATATTGGGTAATGCTGTGAAATCTCTATTGAATAAACACATATTTTAATATTCATACAATTCATTATATATGTGGCTCTAAGCATAAGGGGGTAGATATTGTACCTCTTTTCAACTTAGAAACGAACATATACAGTTCATCACAGTTATATCAACACGGAGACGAGCAAAACGGAAAGAGAAGCCGAAACGCCAACCATCGATCAACCAACACCGCACATTTCTCCGTATTCATACCTGTCACACGACACGACGAGTGCAGCATTCAACGCTTCAAATACGCACCCAACGCCCCTACTCCGGCAGAGATCGCCCCCGTCACAGCACCGCCAGCTTGCACTGCTGCGACGGCCTGTGCGCCCAATGCACCACCGGCACCGAAAGACTGAGCGAGGGCGAAAAGCGATCCAGCAGGGACGGTCGACCCGTACAGTGCTGCCTGTATGCCGGCAGCCAATGAACCTGCAAAACTCGTCACTCCATGAGAGAGTGAAAATGTAACGAACATACCGCTTGTGACTCCTGCAGCGCCAAACCCAACAACTGGGAGAAGCAGGGGGGTTGCACAGACGACAACGCTCCCCACCGCTACGCCGCCGCCAAGCCAACGAAGCAGTGTGGCATTATCCTTCAGCACATCGCGGAGAGCATCAATGTTGACGCCTTTATCCTTCAGGATATCGAGGAAAGCATCAATGTTGGTCGTGACATGACCAGCAGACTCCGTCGTTTCGATGGTGTCCTCCGCCCTGGTGTCCACGTCTGGGCTCGGAGCGGTGATGTCTGTCGGAGAGACGCGATTGCTAGTAAACTCGATGGTGTCGACGGTTTCGTCTGTGTTGGTGTTGACATTCAGGCTGGGAGCGGTGTGACCCTCTGTCGGCAAGTCAGTCCAATCGGGCGTCAGGCCAAGGAGGTTATCCGTATCGGAGCATCGAATTTGAACCAGTGAAGCCATACTTCAAGAAATACGTCGGATGGATATCGCCCTGGTCTAAAATGCGAGGCTTTTATACCTGCCAGTGCCTCATGTTCTTCGGTATGTCAAGTCATCAGGCGTGTTGTACACGTCATAGAACCCGAGCACAGGATATCAATATCTATTTCTGACTCCTCTTAATCCGACAAGCGCTTGCAGATCCGAGCGTATTGTTGACTGTGAGATGAGGAAAATCAAATAACCCAAGGTTCTCCCTGTTCTTATTGAGCCTCTGAGTCTGGAACATTCGTCATGAGCCATCAAGTCAAGAAGAAAATCTGGTTCTGTTATGGCTGGGCCATTGTTCTCTCAGACAACAAACGAATACCATCCATTGGAATCATGTCATCCATAACGACACACATGCACTACAAGAACAGAAAATACGAAAAGACCAACCCGTTATACCCAAGGAAATGTACCACGGACAATGCTTGTGCAAGCATTGCAAGCGCATTTCTCTGCACAGGCTACGAAGACGAACCAGACGACAGCTTCCCACCAATCAAGCCCACTTGAAGAAAGAGCTCATTCCCACCCCGCCTGTGATTGCTGCTGTCGTCCCGCTGATTGTCTGGTAGATGGTGACAGCATGGACGCCTGCCGCCCCTCCCATGCCAAAAGATTGGCAGAGGGCGAATAGAGATCCATGAGGGATTCCAGAGCCATATGCTGTAGCCTGTAAGAAGGCAGCCAACGAACCTGTAAGCCTGGTTAGCCTGGTTAGTCCGGCGGAAGTTCAGGATATGCAAGTTCACGCACCGGGTACGATCCCCGCAGCTCCGAATCCGATTACTGGAAGAAGTAACGGTGCGGCACAGGCTAACACGCTGACGATCGAAGCGCTGCCGCCGATCCAGGGGAGGATCCATGTATGCTTCTTGATGACAGCGATAAGAGGGGTGAGATTGGCAAGGACGTGGTTTCGAAGGATAGCTTCGGCAATTGCGTTGACTCGCGGAACCCCGAAGATACCTGTCAAAGGCTGAGTCGAATGGGCCTATGATGAGGGAGTCTAGCGGCGTACGGTAGAGGGCGGTACTAGCTCGTATCATGGAAGACATCTTTCAGTTGTTCTTGCGATAGGTGGTCCAGAGATACAAAGCGCAGAGGGAGCGTACTCCCTCTACCCGGCAAGCGCGCGGATTTTGTATCACCAGGGAGGTGTCGTGCCAGCTCATCAAGTTCTTCTTTACGCGAAGTCGTCGGGAGTGCAGTACAATATAAATGGTGTGCAGTATATTCGTATTTGACTGGTGGTAGTCCGTAGAGCGCGTGGTTCTCACAAATTGAAATTTAGACGCTGCCCTTCGGAAATTAGAATATATGCAATGCAAAAAGTCTTCATCATCGGCCCATGAATCTACTGATGCAAGAGACAGCACATATGTAACAGATAGAGAGTCATTTGCAGAAAGAGAGCAGAGCAACATGTCGATCTCATCCCGCAAGTCACTCTGCATCAACCATGCAGAGCAGAGTACAAGATGAGTGCAAGTCCCACGATGAAACAGACAACGGCCGTAATCTGGAGGTTGGCGACCAGGAGGACGCTGCCGCCCATGGCAATGGACCGCAGTACTGCAACGAGGCTTCCTAAAGGGATCTAAGAAGGGCAAAATCACATCCCATGCGAAATACGCGCACCAGCAATAGGACCCCAAATCCCAAACCCAAGGAGGGTTAGGATGGCCGGTCCGCCAAATATGATCAGAGCCACAGTGAGGAGGACGCCTCCGACAGTATACGCGATCTCCTTGGGGTGGGCCCTGATGAAGCTCTCGACTTGCCCAGCGACCTCGGCGATCTTGTCTGCGATGGGTTTCCACATCCTGCTGCCAAATCCAGATATTGTCTCCCAAAGCTGGATGAACCATTCTTTGATCGCTTGAAAGACATCGTCCGCAGCTGGGGACCCGTTCAGAACAGAGGGGCGGACTGCCTCATCTGGTGTACGAATCAGCACGAATACATCCACATTGAGAGTTCAATGTCACTTGCCTGACACATGCAGGACTTCAACAAGAATCTCATTCTCCGTCTTCAGCAACTCGTTGAAATCATAATCGTCCGAGTCATCCCCTTCAGACGGAACGAAGGCGGAAAGACCGCCGCCTTCCTGCATGAGAAAGGGTGATGCATGGGTATAGGCATATTCTGATCTCCTCAGCAGGTCCTGGGCAGGAGCGGCAACGATAACTTCCTGTGAGACGATAGGCGCCATTGGAAGGATGGTGGTGGTTGACAGTAGAAAACGATGATGAAGTCCCTAGACGCGTCAGGTAGCGGCCATGACCGAGGGTGTGCCAGCAAAGCAAAGAAAAACGTCGAAAAAAGCGCCAAGATAAACGCCGCGAACTAGTTTCCGAACTTGCGTTCGAACGGGGAAGCGAGCAGATGGAAATTAATCTCGATATTGCCATGCACGTTCTACAAGAATTAGCGAATCAATCCGTAACAATAGTCATCTCAGTGCGGTTAACGCTCCTCCACAGAGGAACTCAATCCGCAAAGACGGCGACCAAATAGCCGCTGACACCTTGAGGTGTCAATATACCGACGTCGCTGACGACCAAGCTGATCAGCTCAGGCCTAGTGTAGTCGGCTTCCGGGTTCTGGTCCATCTGCTCCTTTGTCATGCCGTTGGCGAGGCCAGTGCCGTGCAGCAAGCCCATTGCCGCCCTGGGTAGGTCTCGTGATGGTGCTGGCGGTACAGCAACGGCGTGGGCTGATCCAGCAAGGGAGGCGATCGAAGAGGCGCGGGATAGAAGTGCGTTGGGCGTTTGCAGACCTCGAGAAGGGTGTTGGGCGGGAACGGGAAGATATTTCGATAGGTATGGGAGGTCGTATTGGTTTAATGGGAAGTGGCGGAGAAACTTGTAGCTGAATGCGTGTCAGTATATTGTCGAGCATGAGCCCGAGGAGCAACTCGCCTCTCTACAAGAGCGTAGAAAGGCCGCCCGCTGTCCTTCGCGATGACAGCCAACCCAGCCGTTCCGACAGCATTGATCAATCCACCGCTCTCCACAACAGCCTCAGACCCGACTAATACAAGATCGACCTTGTCCATTATATATGCAACTGCGGTGTCGAAAATCAAGGTGCAGGGTATTTGTGCACGTTCGAGCGAGGCGACGGTCTTCACTCTGATGGATGGTGAGCATACTGCGTGCAAATGAGGGCTCGTACATACCCAAGGGATCGTGGACGAGCTTCCGTCACGTAAACCGATATCCTCTTGCGGGCTCGATGTGCTGCAAGTAGCGCTTGCATGACAACGCGAGAGTAGGAATGTGTGAGGATCTACATACCACTGCATCAACTGGGTTGATCATGTCGAGGTGTCAGCAGCAAACATACAACAGCGTCATCCTGGATAAACCCTAGCGCGAACTTCGAAATCTTGGACCTTGATTCTGTGGGTAATTGGTTGACATATGCGCGGCCTTGTTCTACGATCTCTCTTTTGTATAAGGCGAAGTCCTGTTCAGTATGAGATTGATCCAGCCCTGTAAGCATTGACCAGCTCACACCATGCTCCTGCCGTGTTGTGGTCACATAGCGCACAAACAAGTCGCATCCCGCCGATAACGAGATCGGATTCGCAGTTCCTCTCTTAAGTTTGTCGGCGCCCGATTGCAGCTCGTGCACCAGTTGTGACATCGTTTGTGCTGCAGAATGAGGTCAGCGAATTCCGTGGTAGCATATGCTGCGAAACGCACCGGACGAACGGTCCACTAGTTCTGTAAGGGAAGCAACAGCAGCTATTGGCATTGGAAGCTAGATAATTGCGTAATGAATATATGAAGCAAGGACATTAGGAATCACACGAACATCCTCATCAGTCAAGAGGTTCTTATAGAAGTGGAGCACATCGAATGGCTGTTGAGTAGGCGAAGATGTAGGTCGTTCACTGCTTTCTGACAGAGGAGACATGGTGGACGTTATTAGGGGAGTTGCAGAAGAAGATGCTGTTGGACTGGCTGTCAATGCCATGGCTGAATATGAAGACGTATTTCAGCAAAGCGCCTCATGGACCTCGAGTCAGGGTCAAATACGAGGTTTGTCTCCGACCTCGGAATAACTTTCACTTGGAAAAACTTGGTTCTTCTCCGCTATTTACAGCTAAGTAGCTTTCGCGAGCACGTAGGCAAGGATTGGATATAATTACATAATTGGTTTGGGATGAGTGACATATTGAAGGGATGAGGAAAAGTGTAGATGAATGGAGAGAATTGTAGCGCGTGTGCGGTCTTGGTATACAAGATTGAACCATTGAAAACCTCCTCTTGCAAATTGATATGATTGTGTTGATCTGGTATGCTCCGGAAATGTAAGTTATAACAATCCATATCTCTTTCGGAGATACACCGTAGGGACAGGTGCTGGGACCATTGGGAAGCCGAGGGCGATATTGGGCGTGGAGTTGACAGGCGATCTGCGTGTTCCTTGAGTTTTTTTTACAGCGAAGATGAATTTAACAGGACTCACAGGTAGATATCGAATCGTTCCGAGAAAGGCGGTCCAGTCGGTTCGATGTGTGTCGCGTCGAATATGATACCGACTTCTGTACACCTTTCTGCCAATCGGACATAGGAAGTCTCCGTTAGCTGCGATGTGATCTCGATCCGCATGATCTGTGGTATTCGGAGTCCGACGGCATCGAGGAGAGCCGTGCAGATAGGTGATGCAAACCGATCATGTGGGAGGTCGTTGATGAACGTCAATCGACGGGTAGCCGGAGGCAGCAATTGGAATGAAAATGGCTGCAGGAGTTTGTTCTGCCGGCATTCAATAACTTCGAGCTGAGGTAGCTTCCGTAACAGCCAGCTACCCGTGGAGGGTGGTAGTGAGAGTAGCTCTGCCTCTTCAAAGATAATCTTCCGTAACTGACTGCCTCCAGGGAGCTGAGGAGCAATGGCCAGCCATGCTTCAGGCGCTTCAACGATGCGACCGACGTTAGAAAGATGCAGCTCCTCGGCAAAGTCACCGCATTCTGCAATCGCTTGGAATAAAAACCGGACCGGTCCGCGTGTCCAATCGCTCCCATGCAATCGTACCTTTTTCGTGGCCCGAAATACTGCTCGGCTTGGGCCGTGTAAGGTGAATCGGAGCTGGGATAGGTGGTTGCGCACCCAGTCCATAGGTATGAAGTCTTTTGTGATGCAAGGTGCCCATTCTTCTTCGATAAGAGGAGCGCGTGACAGACTCCGGGCAATCCCGAATGAGGTGATCGAGGTCGGTGGGACGTAAGGTACGTAAAGAACCACCAGATTTTCACATAGTGAAAGAAGCTGGATTGTACCGGCGAATATGTCGGTGTGGATAAGATCCTGGGGCCGAGAGTATTGAGGAACCTGAATCCCTGCCAATCGAACTGCGGAGGCGAGATCGGGACGCTGGCGAAGCGTCCTAAGAAGTAGGTGAAGATCTCCGCCCAGAGGGGTATTACCGGTAAACTCAGGCTTCCCGTCTTCGGGGAATCGGGATGCAGGGCGATAGATCAGAAGGCGGGCGTGCACTGGTGGCGGAGGTGGGGGAGAGGACCAACAATATCTGCGCATGGCAACTTCTATCGAGCGATACAACACCTTCTCGGACGCGGCCCGCACAGCACGACAGGTCTTCGTGTACGCGCTAAGGTCGCGTCTTGTGGAAGAGAAACAACTTGCGTAGTTCCGTTCATGCTGATCGGAGTTCCGGGCAGGAGTTCGCATCACATAAGAGGGGTTGTCGCCTAGGATATGCCAGGCAATCGCTTCCAGTAGCTCAACTGGCAGACCGAGAAGGGTGGGGTAGCACATATGCATAGTCGGCCCTAGAAAGATGATAATCACATGTCGGCGCCAATGCCCTGCTGACAGGTGGGACACAATATCACTCACCTCAGAGAGGGATGAAGCAGTCACGAGATACCTGAGGGAAGCTCATACTGAATGCCCGAGGTTAAAAGGAGAGCCAGAAAAGATGAAAGGCAAGTGATAACCTGCCAGAAGGTGCGTGGGCAATCTGGCCCTTTGCCGAGTGGGGTGTCCCTGGCACGCGTTGCTGCAGAACACCACCGAACAGTGCGGCAAAAAGGTTGCCCGGGAGATCAGATGGATTGGTATCTATGGGGCCGTTGATGAAATCGATATCATTGTGTGAAATGCGAATATGCATATTGCCCGCAGAGGATATCAATCAAAAGGGATTGCCAGTCATGTCGAACAAGAAGCGCCTAACACGGTAAAGCGGAACACGCACCGAAGAGGCGCACTGACCATAAAGCTTCCGCAAAGGGTGGGCACGTGACCTCTTCTCGACGCGCCCTATTTTCCTAAACGGATGCTTTTCGTTCGCCGCGTGTTCGCCGACAGCGACTCTCTCACGGAGTTGTTGTTTGTTCAATTTCTACCTCCTCATAATGGCTGACTCGATAACATTAACAGTAACGACACCAATAAGAACGACAGAAGATTCTATACCAATTATTATATCGACAACAACCTTAGAAGATCAGTATGTTTCGGGCGAGGAACGGTTGGACGCGAATCAGGATAGATGTTGGGGTGACTCGTCAAAGGGCGAAGCATTCGTGCCAGAGGAGATACTAGCCGTCATAAAAGAGACGCCTGAGAGATTTACAATACACGGCAAAGCTGCTCAAAGCACTGAGGAGCTGGATGATGATGGTGATGCTGCAGGTACGTCCTCTCTGTGTCCTTGTACCCCAAGCTGAACCATTTCAGACACGTCCTCATCAAGCTCTCCATCCACTCCCGATGAATCGCTTCTCCTCTCTCCTTTGATTCGGAGAGTCGCTGGTCCGGTTTCGTATGCGGAAGATATGTTTCTTGTGGCCTTATCAACTCCCACACCCCGACTACACAATCTCTCACGGGCGGTAACCCCACGGTCCCCTGTACCCCAGTCAGAGCTCTCTCTCGCTCGCAATATCCCCCTACCACTATCGCCGCTGATTGGGTCGCCCCAAAATCCATCAGACCTAACTATCGCGTTCAACATTCCACTCCCTATGTCACCTACCCAAGAACTTCCATCCTACGAATTATCCGAGCTATCCGTTGCTCGCAACATCCCATTACCACTTTCTCCTCCAGTCATTAACTCAACTTTCCCCTCATCATCCCCTACTTCAGCCACGATCTTGCCACCGAACTTGTTGACCATGGCAACCAGCCTCGTTTCCCCGGGGTCGTCATCGTCCCCACTCCTCGATGTAGTTATTCCTCGCATGCAGGAAGAAGCATTCCGGCTATTCTTCGAGACGCCTATGGTTCCGCCTGCGGAAACGTTAGGCACTGTCCAACCTAGCGAGGTGTGGATCAAGGATACACCTAGCGAGCCTCTCGCAGATGTGGATCAGGACTGCGGTGAAACTTCTGTCGAAATCGGTCGAGGAACGCTCCGTGAAGCATTCGCAGCATCTCCAGGTTCTCGTCCCGTCAATCTTGTCCAAGAAACATCAGTAGACTTCCTCGTACCGATAGGAGGAGATTCTTCCATGTCGATCTCTATCCCTCACCCATCATCTATGACCGCCTCCGATATCTCGATGTCCTCGCTACTCAACACCGCATTCCCCTCGACAATGTCGCTTAACACGGACTCCATGGACTCACTCGAAATTCTTCGCACTCCCGTTCCCCCGTCTGACTCTTCCCACTCTTCATCTGACATGCAAGTTCCCACTATTGCTCAACTACTCGAGCAGACAGCTTTCACCTTCACGTTCCCACCAATCACCCGGACGGCTACCCCTCTGCCTCAGGCAGGCCAGACAAATCTGCCTGCTCTTCGATTATCAGAGATTATCCGCCCAGACGCTTTCTTGTCCTCTCCGCAGTCTGAGAACCCTTCCCGGCTTCCTTCTGCAGTTCCCTCTCCAGCCCCGATTCGACCACCTGTCAGCCTCGCGGACAAGTTATTTGGCCTTTCGCTGCCGCAGGCCTTCTCTTCACCCGTAAAGCCGGTTCAACCGGTCACCAACCGTACATCGAAGGCCGAGATGCCTGAAGAACAAGGGTTTTCTTATTATATACCAGAGCCACCATCAACTCCGCGAAGGGCAACTTCCACCATCTCAGCTGTACAGAAGCCAAAGCTCGCCAAACGAGCAGCTTCTGCGCCTGGTGATAAAGATGGTAGCAAATCTGATCACAGGCCGGATAAAGAAAAGAAGAAAAAGCGTAAAGAGGAGGTGAAGGACCTCACTCAGCTCACAGACAAGGAGAACAGCGCGCCTCCAGCACCCCGTTTGACCCGCTCCACCTCAGCGAGGTCGATCCAGCTTTCGACCAGAGTTGCAAGTGCAATCGCTGCTACCGTTGCGGTGTCTCGTTCACCCTTGAAGCAAATGGACGGCTCCACAGGTGGGCAGCCTATATCGCCTACCAGAACGTTGCCGCCGAAGTCCGCAAAGCCTAATGTCTCTGCTAAAGCTCCATCCACATCCAAGCTACCAACTGCGTCGAAACCCAAGCGTTCTGGTCTTCCTGTTCCAAGCACCATCCCTCGTCCAACAACTGCGACGAAACTCCCAATGCCTTCTTCGTTCAGGAACACAAGCTCGTTGAAGACGTCGATGCCTGCACCTACGCTGCCTCAGAGAGCCAATGTCCCCGTGCCGGTGAGCGGCAGTCCGTCCCGATCGCTGCTCTCTTCTGGGGTGCGTTTTCGTGTTCATATCCTATCACTGTTCTCACCTGTTATAGGCAACCCGTGTCCCATCCCCTGCAAGGCCCCAACGCGGCCGCCTGGCCGAGTCTGCACCTAGGATGGGAGTCTCCCCAGCCCCTCCTCTGTTCACAGGAGTCAGGAGCTTAGCGCCTGCTCCACCATTCCCTTCCTTCGACTTCCGCAGCCCATTCCCTACTGCCCCTTCGCCCGCGATCCGTAACCTCGGTTCGCCAGTTCGTGTAGTGAAGAATAGTACTACTCAAGAAGTACCACTGCGCAGGGTAAATGTCAACCCGCTGACCGAAACCAAGAAAGGTCCTTCGCCTCCTACGTCCTCAGAGGTAGCCGCTCCTCCTACTTCATCCTCATCCACTGTGTCCGAAGCACCACCCGCCCCTGCAGCGACAGGGACCCGTGCCATTCGTCGCATGCCAGCTCGTCAAGCCAAAGTGGATTCTCCTGTGCAGAATGGCGCGATAAGGCCGCCTGCTGCAAAGAGTCGGGTGGCGTCAATGAAAAAGCTGTCAACTCAGCCCGGATCGCGTCCGCCTGGACTGAGTGACGTGGAACTTCGACAGCTGACAGCGAAGAACACTAGGAAGAACGAGCAGTATCATTCGCAGATGGACCTCGTCATTATCTATCGTGACGAGCCTCGACCGCCTAGCCCAAGTTCCCGTATTCGGACAGTGGCAGACAAGGAGAAGGAGGAGCGCAAGACCTCCAGAGATGAGCGCGCAAAACGGCGGAATATCGCACGTGGCTCGAGCGACACAGAGACGGAGCTGCCGGAGATCGTCGAGCTCCCTTTGAAGCACATGCGTGGACCAGGGGACGAGGACGATTATGTTACCCCAGCGAAACGCAGGCGAGTCGAGGCAGGGTCACAAGCCTCAGACTCTGGCGAGGACTTGAATGACTCGAAGGCTACGAAAGGGTCGCGTCGTTCGTCTGGTGCTGGTCGCAAGAGGCCTTTCAAAGCCGTGCGATGGGACAAGGCTCTGGTTGTGAACAGCCAGCGTCCGCCCAATTGCGGCCCTACTCAACAGAAAGCGGATGGTGTGGCGCCTGTCATTGCCTGTATCAAGCCGTCCGTTAAGGCATGTTTCTCTCACTTCCATCCATAGCGCTGTGCTTACTTAGATGTAGGACTATCACCTGGACGTGATGGGCAACATCCCTGAAGCAGGTCAAGTACCGAAGGAAATCGAGAAAGAGCGGATCAAAGTGTCCAAGTACATCTACAACGACGACGACGACGCAGACAGCGCAAAGACCACGAAACGAAGCAGGAAGGGCGAATAGGTAAATCAATGGAGGAGTACAGTACAGTTGGGGGAAAGTAGAACAGCAGAATACCAGGGTTATACACGATACCACAATATCTCTTCTCTTTTTGTGATGTTGCATTCGTAGTCATGTACAGTGCTGAGTGTGTATCTAATGGATTATACTGTTACATACAAATTAGCCAGCCGGGTTGGAGAATGAAAGCGCTGCTCCTCGTCGACGGCGATGAGAATGGCTGCAAGTTCTGCAGGAGAGACTTTTGACGTTGCTTGCAAGGCAGAAATCTTCATCCAAACGACACGGCTTTCTTCTTTCCCACCAGCTTGTCCACATTCGACTTGAAAGGACTTTCCGTCTTCAAATTGACATCCTTTCTTTGCTTCTTCTTTTCTTTCAGACGAGCAGCTGCAAGTGCCTTCGCTTCTTTCTGTGCTGGCGTTAGAGATTGTTGTAGGACTCCAAGCTTAGCGTACCAATTTCAATTCTCGTGGCCCTGGTTTGGGGTCAACATCCTGTTGTCGACTAAGGATCTCCTTCTACATAGCATATCAGTTAGACAGCCGAGGTAGACAACGAGATCGCGCAGCGCACCTTCCTCTCCACTTTCGCCTTCGTCTGCTCTTCTTTCCCCTCCGTGATCAGCTCAACCAGGCTCTTCATGTCCGTCTACGCTAGGCTTTCCATTAACCCCCCATCCCTCTCGCATGTGAATAGACGTACTGCACTATCGACGAAAGCTTTTCGTGGTCTGCCAGGTTTCTTGGCCATTTTGTGTCAAGTAGAGGTGGGAGACGAAGGAAGACCCGAAAATATCAACAACGCCACTCAAGCTTCTTGGATTGTTGAATTGGATCGCAGTGCCCTTCACTACTCAATTGTACATTACTCACGATGTCTGGTGAGCATCTCTGCCTCCCATAGGAGTAACGAGTCTGATAAGATACAGATGAATTTGAGCAAACATTACAAGAAGAGTTCGAAGTCCTAGAGAGTATCTTCCCTGAGGAATTAGAGCGTACGCGCATGACTCGACATTCATGAACCTGGCTGAACGAATGTAGGAATATCACAGACAGAGCTGAAGATACGTGTCGAGCCTGATGCTTCTGTTTCTTCAGATCCCCGTACGTGGCTTATGAGTGCGTGGGTCTATGCTGACCAGAGCAGTCGTCCTGTCACTGCATGTCTCCTACCCGCCTATATACCCCTCCGAGATACCCAAGATGCAGCTGGAGGAGATCGAGGGTGAGCTGACAGAGTTGGAAAGGGACGTCCTTCTCAGCGGACTGCGATTAGTGGTGCGTTCTCTGCATCTCCTGATTCACGGGGGACTGAGCATGCGCCAGGGAGAGGACAGTTTGGGGATGGCGATGGTCTTCACGCTCGTGACACATCTGCAGAGTGCGATGTCCGCGCTCCTGCAAGGGCGAGAAGAAGACATCCGAGCTGCGGAAGAGGAGAAAGCGCGACTCGATGCCGAGGCTGAGGCGAATCGGAATAAGGGGACGGCGGTGACTGCAGAGTCGTTTGCGAGGTGGAAGGAAGGGTTCAATGCTGAGGTGAGGAAGAGGACGGAGAAGGAGGAAGAGGAGAAGATGAGGGGTATGACGCCGAAGGAGAGGGACGAGTTTAAGAGGAGTAAGACGAAGCTTACTGGTTGGCCCTTTCCTTCTTCATGCAGTGTGTGTCTGAACCAGGTGCAGGTAGACAGCTGTTCGAGCGCGACAGGAATTTGGGAAAGGAAGAAGATGCGCTGGGAGAGGAAGGCGCGGAGAGTGTGGATATCAGCAAATACGACAGGACAGAGCCGCGCGAGGAAGAGGAGGAAGAGGAAGTTGGCATCGAGTTCGAGGACAGCGACTGATATTATTCATTATAGCTGATGTAGATCAAGTTGGAAAATGATGGCGATGGTAATGATACAATGTGCAAGTGCCGACCAAGGAGAGGCAGCGAGGTATTATGCAGAGGGCGTAGTAACCCACGGCGACCCCCTCCCCATAGGCGTCCTCGTCTCCATCGGTGCCCGGTCCTCACCTTCCTCTCCCTCTTCATAGCTCTGGGACGTCGGCATCGAAGGTGCAGTCATAGCAAATGGGCTGCCCTTCCCCTCGGCCCAGGGCGTCCCAGATCCCTGGCTCTGCCAGGGCGTGCCTTCCCCACCAATCCCATTCGTACCGTTTTCTCCATTCCTCGGGTTCATACTAGGAGCGTACGACGCCAGTGTTCTCCCTTCTTCCGGCCGGGTGAGGTGCTTCACATGCAGGGGAATATCTTCCAACTTTGAGTTGAACTGTTTTCGGGTGTCCTCGTCGAGCGATGTCCAGAACTCGAGCAGGACGGAGATGCTGTCCCTTACTCCTAGCATATCGGAGCTCGAAAGCCTGAATGCCGAGCGCCATCTTTCTTGCTCCAGGCTAGGGGAGGAAAGAGGGGCGAGGTATTGCTCCCAGGGGAGGGAGGGTTGCTGCAGGAGTGCTAGAGCGAGAAGATAGCAAGCGGCGGCAATGATCTCCGCACTCTGGAGCACACAGAGCGGCGTGTAGAGTGCGTCGTTCGCTATTGTCCACGCTAGGTCTGCCACTTCCTCCGGTGCAAGCAGCGCATCAAGTGCGATCACGAGTATGCCCTGAACATGCGAAACCTCGAGATCAAACGCGAGCGCATCGGCCAGCAAAAGCTCGTAAACAGCTATAAGGTGCTCGAAGCGCGCAACTTCCCGTTCGTGCGCTTTGAGAAGGTCTGTCGTGTTCTGCGAGCTGGAGGAGGACCGGTGCAGCTTGATGATCACCGCGCCAGCGACGTCGTGCAGCTTACGCAGGTTTTCTTCCGTCTTGCCTGCAAGGAAGAGGCAAGTGGCAGCTATTTCCTGCCATGTGTGTGAGCACCGTAAGGTGGATTGAGGTGGTGGACTCACGAAACGGTGGTAGTCAACGAATGAGTATCGCATGTAGAACCGGTGGAAATACACTGCGGCGGCGGACATGGTATGCTGGTGCCTTCACGCGATGAATAGGACATCGATCACATCGTATGATCATACGTACATCCCCAGTTGCAGCCCGACCCGGAAGAGGAACTCGATGCCTCTTGCGCGCTCGACGAGCTCCTGATGCAGGCCATACCCATCCACCTGGGATGGCGTGTGGTAAAGGGCCGAAGGGGTGAAAAGCCATTGTAGGAGCTCTTCTGGTAGACCTGTCATGTGTGCGATGATATGAAGTATTAAAGTGAAGCAGGTTGCAGCGACTCCTTGTCGTCGTCGTCGGTGGCCGGAGGAGGTGACGGTGTGAAGCAACAAGCGCTCAGGGTATGTGGCGTCGCAAGTTGCTGGACGACGACGACGACGACGCTCCTGACGACGATCTCCGGTCGTCGTTTCTACCTCTGCTGCGCGTTTACTTATACATATTATGGCGACTTGAATTACTGTATATGGAAATATCTTCATAATGTGGCTGTCTTCTGCCCGTGACTACTTTTTGTCATTCCCCAAGGTCTATTGTCCTCGACCCTGGGTCGATATCATTCCCTGAAACTTGGCTACAACGTACCTGGCTCGTATGCAGTAACGGCGGCCGGTAACCTTGAACACGCTGGCATTTCTCTCTCGCTCCTGAGCATCTCAATGGATTAACACGCGGCGAAATGATGCAGCGAGCAACAGGGAATACATTGATTGCAGGCTTCGTCTCCATCTGCCATGAGCAATATAGTGACCGCACCCCTAAGGTAGGAGTTGATGGGCAGAAAAGTATAAAGCCCCTTCAGAAAGCTGATCCACCACTCCAACCAAGCTTAGCACCGTGATCGGGACAGGCTCCCTTCCCTCCATCTTCATACTTCTTCCGTTCGGATCAACATCCTGCAGAGCAGGCCAATTCTACGTTCTCTTGAGTCTCTAAACTTCCTCGATAAGGACCACAAAAATGCACACTCTCTCCGCACTCGCTCTTGGGCTCCTTTCCGCATCCCAGCTGGCCCGCGGCCTGCCAACGAAGCGTGAAGTTCCACAAGGTCCGCATATCTGCCCCATCCCATACCTACACGCAATTTGACACCATGTTGTAGAACATTCTCACCAGTCGATCATTACCTCCGTCCAAACTTCTCTCCAGTTGAACAACCCCAATGGGATCGTTGATTCTGTTTTCGGGTTGTTGGGGAACGCTGCCGCTGCTGGCGGGGCAGGCAACACCACTGTTTGTCCCCCTTTGCTCACAAGTTCTGCAGTTGTCTGATACGACTGTAGGATCTCGACTGCCTGCAACAAGCCACTGCAGACCAAGCGTTTACCAATGCCAAAGCCGCCGGTAACGTACAAGGCATGGTCGACGCCCTCATCTACCGCGCTCTGGAGCGTAACACCGGCGCTGTGGGACTTGCTTCCAACTCATGCACCACCCTCACCGCCGTAAACCCCGAGATCGCGGCCATCTCGCAGCATCAGGACCCTGCCTCGCCCAACGCTGCCAGCACGAACAAAGCCATCGTCCTCGTGCTTGCTCAGCAGATTGCGAGTGTAGGCGGAAACCCACAGGACGCGCTCAAGAGCGGCACATTCGCCCCGGGGCAGATTGGCGACCCTACGGCCAAGGGGAACACGTGTGATGACGCTAATGATCCGAATGGGTGTATCTTTACCCAGAACTTGCTTGTGGACGATGCGACTGCGGCGGAGATCGACGCGGCTGTTGCTGGGACTTCGAACTCGAACAATACGAGCACCGTGTCGACGGGTGGCAGCGCCTCTAATTCGACGACAGGCACCGGTAATGACGGCACTTGTAATCCTGTCGGAGTGGACGGTACCTGCGTCGGTCAGGGCAATGACGGCACTTGCAACCCCGTTGGTGACGGCACGTGTAATCCTGTCGGCCAGGGCAATGACGGCACTTGCAATCCTGTCGGAGCGGACGGCACCTGCAACCCCGTCAGCACTGCCAAAAACGGTACTTGCAACCCCGTTGGAGTCGACGGCACGTGCAACCCCGTCGGCCAGGGCAATGACGGCACTTGCAACCCCACCAGCACTGTTACCGTCACAGTGACCGTCACAAGCACCGCGGCAGCGACGGCCATCTCTAACTCTACAGTGGCGTCAGCTACAAGTATCTCGACCGTGTCTACCGGCTCGTCTAGTTCAGGCACCAGCGCCAACCTGCAGACCTTTACTGGTGCTCGTAAGTCCATCTCTTCACAACGCGATACGCCGCTGACGAGCCAAGTTGGCGGAATCGCTCCGCCTCCCGTGACTGCCGGCGGCAAGGGGTTCATAACGGACAACGGTTCCGAGTTCGTCAACCTCGCTGCTGCCCTCGGCCGTTCCTGCGACGTGCAACACAACCAGTGCGCGTGAGTGCTTTCAGCCTACTGTTGATCAACTACTGATATCCGGGAAGGGACGCCGCCAACTCCCAGCATCAGACTCTTTTCTCGGTAGGCGACTGTGATACGCAGGATACCCAGTGCAAGGCTGCAGGATCGGCCACGTCCAGCACCGGGGCTTCCTCGTCCGCGGCTGTCGTGGCCGCATCTACGACTCAGGCTGTTGCTGCCGCTACCGCGACTGCCATCTCGACCGTAGCGTCTGGCACGAACTTGCAGACGTTTACTGGCGCTCGTATGTTCCTAGTCTCTCCTTGCGCAAAAGATGCTCACTGACAACGTGTTGCAGTCGGCGGTATTGCCCCTCCCCCTGTCGTCGCCGGTGGCAAGGGGTTCGTAACCGACAATTCTGACTTTGTCAACCTCGCCGCTGCACTTGGCAGGTCGTGTGACGTACAACACAATGCCTGCGCGTGAGTGCTCCGTCTTTCCGCTTTCACACCTCTTCTGACTGGAATACAGGGACCAAGCGAACTCGCAGCATCAGACTCCCTTCTCGGTCTCGGACTGTGATCAACAGGATACGCAATGTAAAGCTGCAGGTAGTGCATGAGACGAGAACATGTTGTTACAACATCCATACATTGTGCAGTCGAGAATGAAGTAGATTCACAAGAGCGAATTTATGATCTGCACGCTCAATCTCGCCCGCCATAGGGTGTCATCCATCTCCGGATACCTCAGTGCCACCCCGCGTCTACACTCGTCATCCTCCCAATACTCGTGTCCAACAGGCGGGAAGCCAACCATCTCCCGTTCTCTGGGTGAAGCATGGGTAACGAACTTATCCATCTCCGGCTTCCCGCCTGATAACTGAAAACAATGACTCCCAAACCAAGGCGTGCCCGCGGTATGGAAAGCGACGAACTGGGAGAACCTGCATCCTTCCATAGCGAGCATCTTGCTCCCCCGGTGAAACGTTCGCATGGTGTATACAAGCACCGAGCCAGCCCGCACAGTGGCCGGGAGCTCATGCTCGTATATCTCCGGAAACTCTTCGCGCGAATAGAACCGCCTTCCGTTAGGCGAAAGATGCCGCGTATGCTCCGAAGGGACGACGACAGACGGCCCCAGATCAAGGGTCACATCCGTATAGTAGACGATCATTGGGATGTCGATGCTTGCCGTCCCAGCGCGAGGGACGACGAGGGTGTTGTTCGTATAGTCCTGATGCAGCTCTTGATCATAGTCGTTCCCGGCATACTTGCCAACGATAGCGTCGTGGGAGAGCTGCAGGTCAGTACTCCCTGTTAGGCGCTCGGCGAAAGCGACAAGGTACGGATGGAGAGCAACGCGGTTGAGCGCCGTGCTCGAGTAGGGGAAGTCGTGCCTTACCCACCCACGCGGGGGCCCGCCGCCCAAGAGGCGGGTGAACATCGGCTTCCGGAGAACGTACTCCTCCCATGTGGGCATATACTGCCCGAACTCGGCAAGGCAGTCTGCAACCTCGGAGGGAGTGAGGAAAGGGATGAGGACGTAGCCGTGGGAATGCCAGTGGTCGAGGTCGGATTGGTCGATCTGCGCGTGCGCGGCGGCTTTGAGTTCCTGCTCATGGTTAGAATGTGAAGGTACTATGGGAGAGCTGGGGGACTTACCTCCCATGTTGGCTTTGATTGGGTATTGGTGCTGGACGGCACGTCTACATTGGTGGCAGGCGTGTCGTTAGCCTGAGAAGTGGACGTCACAGCTCAACCTCAAAGGCAGGCACAAAAGCTAGTGCGAGAACAACCGTGGATCATCGAGATATGCCTTGGAGTAATATATACCGACACGCGTATCCATTCATGAGAATGGTGGAGGTCTCCTGTGCGCATTTGAGCAACAGACCGCAATTTAACCTTGCAATTGCTTGACCCATTCTAAGCAGTTCAGGTGGGGATGAACACCGTACGGTTCGGGAAACTCAGATATCCGACCTGCTGACCTGGGCTTCTGGCGTTTATAGAGAGAGGGACAGGTAGGGGAGAAAGAATGAGGAGTCAGAGGATCCGACTGGCTCGGGGTGCGCGCCGAGTATTTCCGTGTTTTTCCCTCGAGGCATCCCGGTCTGTGTTGTTGAGATGTTGGTGTTGGCGCCTGAGGTGTCGAGCAGATTGAATGCGACCTTGCAGAGACTGATCATACACCTCCCTAAGCTGAACACAGCGACCGCAGCTCCCTCAACACAAAGACACACAGTCCACGCGCCCCTCGCCTTAGCGGAAAATTACGCCCACAGCGAAAGGAGCAACCCAACCGCCGCACATTTCCAACAAGTGCATTCAGCTACCTACTGTCCGCGCATCATGATCCTCTGTACAAGCTGTACTTTTTCCCTGACCTGTCATCCATGAGCATCCCCCAGACCAGAGAAAGCCAAGGTAAGAAGACACTCACATTCTGGGCAAACCTCCGCCTGTGCCTCGCACTCCTCAACCTATACCGCTCCACGCTCCGCGGTACGAACCTCTGATCCCTCAACCACCAGGCCTTAATACTCCCCCCAATGGTAAGAGTGTTCAACCTCCCATACGCGCGCGCTACATCCCCTCCTTCCACTGGCACGCGTCTACCCGAATACGGGCCCGGCACACGTTCAGGATCAAACCGCTCTAGAAATCGGAGAGAACGGGTTTCCCAGGTAGAGGCGGGGGTTTGCTTGACTTGACCTGGTTTGGAAGTGTGCCGTAAGAGGTGTTGGATAAAGTCCCAGCCGCGCTCGCGTTGTTCTTCTGGGACGCTGGCGGGGAAGTGGAGGTTGCTAGGTGTTGAACTGGGAGAGGAGGGAGATGGGGATGTAGGGGCAAGCCGGACACTACCGGGTAGAGGGGGGAAGATGCTTTGCGTGGGCTGGGTCCAGCCTGTTTGGGCGTGGGGCCCTCGGGTGAGCCGGGAGGATTGGGAGGAGAAGGAGAGGGCTTTGTCGTCTGCTTTTAGGGGGAATGAGAGGTGTAGCGTTCGTTGGGTGACGGCACGGGGGAGCTGGAGGAGGGCGCGGCGGGATGTAGAGCTGAGGGAGGGGACGATGGACATCCTAGTACTGGGTTGGGTTAGATATGCGGGGTTGAAGGAGTGTTACATACTTGGACACTTGGCGGAAGAAAAGGTCTGTCACGGCTAGTCGGCTCTCTCTCCTGGTTGCTTGTCGTCCACAACAGGCAGCATAAATAGCAGAAAGAAATGCAGAGAAGAGCGGTGGTGGTGGTGCAGAACAGCGAGCAGCAAGGGGGAGACGATGAGGAGGAGGAGCAAGACGACGTCGACGCACAAAGTGCCCTGAGAGGAATTTCCCCGGAGTTTATCTCGGCTCCGTACCATCTTGAGTTCCCATAAAAGCAAGTGAAGAAGCACAAAGCGCTACAGGAAACAGGAAACGAAAAAAGCTACAAAAAACTAGATTATTGTTCTTGCAGTAGAAGGAGCTGGGCTAGGAAGTACAACAAACAGATCAGATACAAACAGTCCGCTTCTCATCCCCTGCTTCTCATCATCACTTCATTGCTTTATTACCTCATCACTTCATTGCCTCACCACTGCCAACGCACGCGTCAGAACTTCCCCCACCTCCTCCCCCCACTTTGCCCGGAGCTCAAACTCCTCTCCACAGCTTCTCTCACATACCCGAACCCGAACCTCCTCTTCCTATCTGGCCTGACCTCGTAGTCTCCCTTATACACCCCCACCCCCGCACCCGCACCCATCCTTTCCCCATAATCATTGTCGTCCGAGGGGGAAGAAGGGGGGGAGAGCTCTTCCCTTATCTCCCCTAGCCTAGGTACGGGCGGAAAGGAGTATCCGTAGTCTGCCAGGCTTGCAGATCGGCCCGAAGTGCGGGAAGTATTCCGCGACAAAGGGGTGAGCCTGGACCGGTTAGCCGCGGGCGGGGGAGGGGGAGCGGGAGTGGTCGGCGACTTGGAAGACTGGGAGGAAGAGCGAGAGGTTTGGAAGGGCGCACGAGGTCGCGTTAGTGGCCGGGAGTGCGTGGGGGTGGGAGGAGGGTAGCTGGGGGTCATCGTACTGTACCTCGCGGACATCTCGTGCAACGCGGGCGAGAGCACGCGTTTGTGATATATCCTCTGGGGGGAGAATGGCCTGTCGTGCAGTCAGTATGTACTATCAAAGGAAAGGGAAAGGGAAGGCAGAGGGAATGCGCGTACCTAACCTCCCCCTCCCAGCAAGCCGCACACACCCCCTCTTCCCACCTCACGACCCTGAGCTGCTCCCCCTCCCACACCCTCGTACAAGTGCACAGATACCCCACGCACTCATACGGATGACATAGGGAGGACGTGCAGGTTTCGGAGAGGCAGTCGACGAACTCTTTTCGCAGGGGGAGAAAGCATTGGCAGGAGGTGTATTTGATACCTAGCAGGAGGGGGTAACACATCGTTCGTTCTTGAGGGGGTTGGGGGTGGGGAGGGAGTTGAGAGGGGTGCCAGAGAGGATGTTTGCAGATAGGTGGCAGGAGAATATACGCCGAGCAGTGGGAGCGAACAGCAACAGCAGTAAATCCCGAGTACGCCCAGTCACTTCTGAGCGTTTACTAAGAGCGAAACGAAGCGGGATAGAAGTAGCAACTCACAGCACGATGTAGTCAAGCAGCTCCCTGCCATCAGATCGAGTGATACTTATACAGCGCGCCCTCCGCCCTCGTCCCCCCACATGCTCAGCAATCAAGAACCTTCTCGACGGGCCGAGTCTACTTCCAACGTATGCGAGATATCTGGTAAGCGGGGTTCTTGCTGGAGCCTCGAGGCTTGGGCGTGGTCGTCGTGCTTAGTCGTGGGCGGATGCGGGCGGGTAGGGTCCCGAATGTCGTTGTTGGAGTCATATATGGTAATCTTGTTTTCTCCCCTTCATCCTCACACCGACTCGACCTCAATTCCTTTTCCTCGGTACATTCATTCCCCCTCAGGACTGAGTGCGATCCACCGAAGCGAAAATAGTAGAATGCCAACATGGACTCCAGCCAACGTGTGCGAAACGTGCGTCCTCCTCGTCGTAGAATATAAGCCCCTCCTACTGACTCTCCCTCCTCTCCTCATCCCATAACTTTGTTACATTCGAAAACTATCATCTGCTACCACTTTCATCCATCCATCCATGAAAGATCTCCGAAATATCTGACGATACGAAGAGTACGTGCTACCAGTCGTCTTCCGCCGTCGTCTGTCCCACTTACGAGCGTTTTGTTCTTTTGCAGTCATTTCTTTGAGCGATGCGGATCTTACGTCTCTCAAGTTCCTCGGTCCTGGTAAGCACCACGCCTCTAGCATGTGTATCCTTCACTTATCGTCACGCCCCCAGACTCTATACAGCGCGTCAGGGATTTGATCACGACCATCAAGAACGTTCCTCAGTATTGCGGATGCGAGTATCTTACTCCTTTCGCGTATCGTCTATATAGCTGACTTGCGAACTTCCTCTTAGGGATCACTGTGTTCCACGTCGGGTGCCTCAACACCCAGCTCAAGTACCAACCAAGTCTTCCTCCGTCCCGAGCCTCGCCCACGGCCCCTGAGATCACGCTCCTCTCTCAGTCGTCCAAATCCTCTGTTGGTGATGATGACCACATCTCCCCCTTCGAACGTGTATACTTCTACAACGGCATCGCCGACGACCCTCCTCACCTCTTCCAGCGTTCCGATCTCATGCAGCGTCCTTTCCCCATCCCCGAAGAGAGGTCTACAGAGAGGTACTCTGCCACTCCGGTGAAGGCCGCGCACACCGCCAACCACCCTATACTCAAGAACGCGCTCTGGAAGGGCTCGGTTGCGCCTGAAATCATTGCTTTGTGCAACGAGACGAGTCGTGGCATCCACGTCTCGACGATGCTGCCTGTGCGTTTCTCTACCCTTGACAAACACGGCAAGGACGTATTCGACGACCACATCGTTCTCTGGATCTCCGTTCATCCTGGCAACACCAAGAAGACCAGCTGCCGTGATGCCAACGGCCCTATCCTCGACATCTTTGCCAAATACGACATCCACGATGTCGCAGTCCACTGGATCGAGGGCGCTATGGAATCGCTCGCTGGTCCTCCTGAGATGATGCCGGTCACCAGAGATACCAACCCGACTCATTGGATCCGCCGAGCTCTCACAGCTGTTCTGGGCATCCCCATCGTCGCGCAGGACATGGCGGACAAAGACTTGCAGGGGTCACTCGGTCTGTATTTCCACCGTGGTAAGGACCGTCATGGCAACAAGAGCAAGGACGTCCTGGCGGTGACAAACAAACACGTTGTGTCCGAGAAAATCAACGACGACTACAAGTACAGCGGTCACCACGGCGAACGCAAGCAGTACATCCGCAACTGCGGTCGTCGTCGCTTCGAGAAGCTCCTCAACGAGGCTCGTGCTCTGCTTGCTGAGAAGCTCGAGGACGCCACGTTGTTCGCCGAGCAGCTTGCGGAACCAGTGGCGAATCAACCCGAGGAGGAGGATCCGGAGTACAACAGGGACTTGAAAGATAAAGAGCAGCAGCTGCAGAAAGCGCAGTCGGACGTTGGTGTCCTCGACGAGTTTCTCAAGCTCCTCAAGTCCACCTGGAACGATGCCCTCGATCGTATTATCGGCTGGGTCGACTGGGCCCCCAAGATCGCCAATGACGCCGACTCCCGCCGCTACACTCGCGATATAGGCGTCATGACGCTCGAACGGGACAAGTTCGTCAAGAACTTCAAGGGGAATGTCGTCTACCTTGGTGCGTACTCCTTTCTCTCTCTCTTCTTTCCTTAAATCATTTAATGGAAATTTTCAGCTGGCAAGTTCACCCGCGCCGAGATCAACGCTTGCTTCTACCCCAACGCCGCCAACCCCTCCGTGTTCAAGTACCCAAAGGACCACCTCTTCAGGCTCTCGGGTGTCGTCGGCCCCGTAGCCCTCTCGACCCCGTACTTTGTCGACAAGAACAACAACCCCTGCTTCATTGTTGCCAAGGCAGGCCAGGCGACCGACCTGACCTTTGGTCGCCAGTCCGAGCTCGAGGCTTACACCTGTAGGGATCTCGAAGGTCTCTCGGTGTCCTGGGAGATCGCAGTCTTCAACTGGGGGAGCAACAAGCACAGTAACTTCTCGGCTAAGGGAGATTCTGGCTCAGCTATCTTCAACGCGGAGGGAAAGCTGGTCGCTCTCCTGCACTCCGGAATGCCCCGTGGCACGTCTAACCATGTTACCTTCGGAACCCCTGGTCACTATGTCATGGAGCTCGTCTTGCAGTATTACCCCGACGCCGATTTCTCTCGCTTGAAGTTCGAAGAAGACGAGGCCACCGCCGCCTGAATCCTCCAAGTCGTATTTTTCCCGTTGTTTCCACCTCCGTCACCACTGTCTTTTCCCCTCGACTCTGTTTTCTATCCTATGGTTGTTGGGTTCAAACGCGTGTCTTTCCACCGTCATTGCGCTGGAACCCATTGTCCCTTTGCCTTATCATTTTTTGTACTCGTAGCTAACGGACTTCGACATCCTAGGTCTAAAACGATTCCGCACGCTTCGGTTTTGTGCCCTCGACTTCGTCTTGACTCGTTTCTTGGCTCGGTAATGTAACTCATTGGTTCGTCGTCGACATTGCCGCAACTCTTGACTCGCGATTTCTGACTTGGTACGCCTATCCCCTCTTCCTGATGTTTAATTGCTTTATTCTCCATCTTCGTCACATCTAGGCACTGAAGAATGGACTTTCGCGTTAGGTTCATCTTGTTTCTTGTCTCGTCCTTTGATTCTTGTAGCTAATGGCTTCTCGAATAGGCGTTGTAGGTCTTTGGCTCGATGATGGATCTTGTCAGGCGCCCCTTGCTTCTCAATATTGTAAACTCGCAACCTCCGCCTTCCGCCTATGCGTGCATTGTGTGTGTGTGTTGTACATCGCTTCCGCCCCCCACCCCTTTCCCAGCTTCGATCGTGTCCCCCATTTCCTGCTCCTTGATTCATACTTGCTAGACATTCTTTTCAAATCATAAAAAGTCCCATATCGTTGTCTCTACTTTCTGTCGTATTTCCTCGGTGTACGAGGCAGCTCTACATAACATACTAGACAGAAGTATGGTTGCCCAATTCTGTATCCCCATTCAGAGGGTAAAAAAATCCGGGAGAGATACGACGATGTACGAGGATTCCGGTATGATCCCCTTATGGAGAGAAAGAGGAGCAGCTGAAATGACTTGGTTGTTGTTCGTTGGGTGGTGCGTTCTGACGGAGTCAATGTCGGGGAAGTTGATGTCGGTGTCGGCGTTGACAACTCCCATCAAGGGCAACGTCACCAACCACCAGCTGATGTCAACGACCATGCCGTTTCGAGGACCGCTTCCACCAATACATCTTCTTCCCACACGCATCCCCTGCACGCATACGTACCCATACGCTCCAATATCCTGATTCCTCAACACGTCTTGCACCGAGAAGACACAGGCGCTAAGCTTCTGCTATACGCTACTGCTCTCGTACGTACCCCTCTAACTACCTGGGAGGCACTGGCTTGACACCAGATCCTCCAGCTTAGCTGTCCGGCATTTCACCTACCCCAACTAACCTCCAGCTCGGTTCAGTTCAGTTCAGTTCATTAAATTACCCTACCATGATCGTACACCCTCAGACGAGAAACTGCGAAAGTGAAGAAAGCAAGTATAAGAGACCGAAGCAATACAACTACAATTCCAGCCCTCCGGCGGGGCCGTCACGCTCCTGGAACGCACATTAACCGCCCACTACTTCGGCAATCAACACCCCTCCTACCCACCTACGACCCACCTACGCTCGCGCAAGAACCTGCGACTCACCCGCTCCACGTCGACACGCCCCCCGCCCCAGCCGGTGTTTGAGGAGGAGACCCCTGCGCCCTCCAAGCTTCCTTAAGCGCGTTCAGACGTGCTCGTTCGCCTTTGTCCCGCGCGCAATCGGGGCAGTTTACTGGGCTGCTCGGGTGTGTCAGCTCAGCCCAGCCCAGGTCAATGATCAAACGATGCACCAAGCACTGGCGTGGTTTGGGTTTGGGGAAGAAAGTGGTGGGAAAGTGGTAGGGAAGTAATGCAGAACAGTGGTAAGACCCACCTCCTCCGAATAGGCACCTGCCTAGGAACATTCATCATATTCTCACAGGCCCTGCTCCTACACCCCGGCGGATGGCTAGTCGAGAACACGCATCGTGGAGAATTGCAGTCGTGTTTCTCGGTGGACATGGGGATGAAGCACCCGCAGGGTTGGTGCAGTCTGCCGTAGACGATCTGCGGGGGAGGTGAGCGGCGTCCGGGGACCGGGGGGATTGGGTTGGAAGGGGCGTACGTTATGACACATTTTTGTTGGTTGATTGGTTGGAGGGAATCGATGACGAGGGGGAGGATGAGCTACTAGAGCTTGGTATAGGGGATGGGATGGGAATCACACGACGAGGTATCAGAAACGCTGGATCCAAGGCTTCAAGCCGTCCAAGCAGAGGGCGGTAGGTCCTGGCTCGTAGCTCGTAGTCGGTATTCGGAGGGCGGGACTGAGAGCGCGGTACATATACTTCACTTTGTAGTGAACACGAGGGGTGCACGCCCCACCCCAACGCAAGACGCGCGACACGATGCAAGGTGAGTGATATTCTGCCGATATCCCTCAGTTGCCAACTGGGCAGAGTCCCCAGTGCGGAGTCCGGCGTAGCGTATGGTGTACGCAGTATGGGATATGGCTGGAATGTGGACTTCTGATTTGTGTGTGGGGTGTGCGAGGCATTCCGTTCCAGATAAGTACGTTCTGCACGTTTGGGAGACGTCCCGGGTCCACCCATGCTCATCTTCGATTAACATGATTAACCCGAGCCCGATCAGGCATTCACGAATACGGTAAGAATAAGATGGCCTATCCAGCTGTCCCGTTGTCTGCGGTCCTGTCTGCTCGCCAGCTGGCCAGGTGCAGTACATTACACCGTTGCATCGTGCCCCACCCCCACCCTGAGATAAATTCGCGGGGTCGAGGCCCTCCTACCACCCGAAGGCCGAAGCGCAAGCCGTTCAAAAGCCCTTCGCTTAGCTACATCACGATGGCTACAGATGACGAAAGCACGGAATCCTGTGACATCGGCGGTAGGCCGACCGGAGGGTTTCATACCGGGCCGAGGGGGACATTAGACCGCCATTGCGGATGAGTACCACATACGGCAGTACAATCGACGAGTCTGCAACGCTGTTGCTGGTAGACGTCCACCCGGCTAGAGCGTGCGCGCCATTCAGGGATAGCGAGACTGATACTGATACTGATACCGTAATGTTCCTTATCGGGAGGATCTCACCTCACTCTCTACACGTGCCGATAATCATGCGCCTGCGAGGAGTCGCCTGTTGGGCAGGTTGAGGGGAGATTGGGGGGGTGGTGTGTTTGCTAAGGTCGGCAAGTTCCGGTTGCATGTGGTGGGATGGATGGATGGATGAGATTGGGATGCTTATCAGCAGGAAGAAGCTTATCGGACAACCAGAGACTCAGAATTCGGACGGCGATCCCCCTGTGCTGCTCAGATCGGACCACGACTCTGGAATACAGGGGTTTCCCGGCTCTTGAGCGTATGAGTCGAGGGTATCGAAGCTGTCCTCGATCTTCGGGCCTTAGGTCGATCCCTTCTGCTTAGGCTGTGAAGTTCGCGAATACCAGGTGCTCGTTCCTAGTGTGATACCCGAGTAGGACGGCCATCATAGCCTTTCCCACGAGGTCCATACCCTCTCCGTCAGGCCCCGTGCCTAGTATGTCATTGTTGCTGTTGAACCTCACATGACCAGGGCTGGTTCTGGCTAGCGCCTTGAGAGACCGCTTGTTCTGCTCGCACAGTGCGAGTATGCCCCAGAAGAGCACCATGTACAGTTCGTTACATCCGTGAAGCGTCCTTTCGTTGGTGCAGAGCACACTCAAGCAGCACAATGTGGAACATGTGTTCGGACATAATGAACTGTACATGGCGCTCTTCTGGGGCATACTCGCACTGTGCAAGCAGAACAAGCAGTCTCTCGAGGCGCTAGCCAGAACCAGCCCTGGTCGTGTGAGGTTCAACAGCAACAATGACATACTAGGCACGGGGCCTGACGGAGAGGGTATGGACCTCGTGGGAAAGGCTATGATGCCCGTTAGAGAGCTGACAAGGGTGTTCAATGGCATACGGAACGGAGCGTACACGTCGGAGTGTATGGTACACGAGTCACATGGAACACCATCCTGGTCAGGCCTGCACAACACTCCAGACGACACCGACAGTATGGCACTTCTAGACTGCACAGAGAAGTGAAGAGTGGGTCTGAACGTACACTCTCTCGCATCCCTGTGCAGTAGCTTTGCCAGTGCTTCGATACTCGCTCTGTCACATGTACACATCACGCCCATGCAGTACAGCACCCACTGCTCTCCCACACATACCAGAGGTTCTCGCCTCAACATCTCCGCTACTCTCTGCATAACAGTAAGCGTCGGTGGGCCACACACCCGTACCTTCATGCCCATCACCACTCTCCTCACTCTACCCGCCTCTGAGGAGTGTGCAGTGTGAGACACGGATAGTATCCCTCTGTGTTCTCTCTTCGGTGACCTGTAGCGACCGTTCACGACTACTTTGGATCTGGAGTACACATCCAGAGCCTTGAGTGGTGCGTCACCACTGCGCATAACCGAGGGCATGTCCATCGCGCCATCGCTGTTGTCATGCCTGACTCTGAGTGCTCCCATGTCTACAGCCAGAGAGATAACCGACGCTGAGTCATCTGCGGCATTATCATCCACATTCTTAGGGTTGGTGGATCCCGCTATCGAGGGCCGTTCAGGGCGAGTGTCCCTTTTGTACATTCGAAGTTCTTTCTGGCAGATGGACGGCTCCGACGGGATAGTGTGGTGCGCTTCTGAGGAAAGGTTCCTTGGTGAATTCACCATGCCATCGACTGATATTGAATATCCAAATCGATAACGTCCTCGTTGGACGTGCTGTCCCAAGAGTCAGAACGTGAGAGCAGGAAGTAAACAGACATACAAATCCAAAGCGACCTCCGTGCTAGTCTCATACGTCGAACGCGGATGTCGACCCCTCCCCCGGCTTACAGGTATCTCTCGTGTCCCACACGCAAAGCTCTCATTCCCAGTCTGAGAAATGTCAAACGTCATCCCTTGCTTCCTCTCCCACAAACAGATACTCCTCGGCATGGGGGCAACGTTCGCTCTCGTCAGCTCGTGCTCCAGGAGCTGCCTCCACGTCCGGGCAAACGGGGGGGTGCCGTAGTCCAGATCGGCAAGGATGAGCGTCTGCAGCGAGGGCATGTGTACCCACACGCCTACGAGCTTCAGCACGTGATCCCTGCTTATGACTAGTAAGCTTAGGGCAGGCAGGAGATTCCACAGTTCCGCGTGCGCTTCGTTGATCGAGTGCATGAGCCCCCAGCCGCAGAGGGTGAGGCTCCTCAGTCTGGAACCGTACAGCTGGGCATGGTGGAACGCGAGGTAGTGCCCCGAGGTGTCGTCCAACTTGTGAATAAAGAGTTCTTCTAGCTCTTCTGCTGGAACGCTGAGTGCGGAAGGGAGGAGCGTAGCACCTTGTTGCAAGCAGCGGAGGAGGGAAAGGTGCTTCAGCTTTGGCAGGGCTAGGCGAGAGAACGAGGAGGCCCCAGTGAAGTACACGTCTTCTATTACGAGGTTCTCCAGCAGGCTGAAGTACGCTGTTCCGCACGGGCCGAAGAGCTCCGGTCGGAATGTCGTTGCTGCTGCTCTGAGCCCCTGTACGTCCGCTTCTAGGAGGAAACCAGGGGGGAGCGTGTCGCAGTAGATAGAGTGCACGTTCCTGCAGAGTTCAAGGAGCCTACGAGCGGCTTTCCGCCCAGAAGAGGACTCCTCCCACTCGTTAGCGGCGCCGTCGAGGTTGAACGCGACGGCTCTGACTACACTTGCCAGATCGGGCCTATGTTCTAGCGTACGCAAAAGCAAGGGCAAGGAGCCGCCACACATCTCGTGCTTCCCCCAAGCGGGGTTCTTCATACATGCCTCGACGGCGTCGTACAGTACCCTATCGCAGCACCGACTGATATAGCGACATGTTTGTAGGAGCGAGCAGAGGGAGAACCGGTTCACGTTGAACCGCGTCTTCGAGGCTGAGAGCGTAAAGTCGTCCCGGCTGGGATCGAAAGATACGGGAATATTCTGCCATCGGACTTCCAGAGCTACCTGTCTGAGCAACTCCGAAGGAAGGGAGAGGATAGAACTGCCTGTGTTGGTGTGCTTCAAGCTTGCGGAGAGTGGTACGCTGAGAATGTTGGATGATTAAATTTTGCGTTTTGGGACTCGTAGATGGATTACCTGGGAGTCTCCATTTTCACAAATGCAAGATCACCTGCGAGGGCCTCGAGCTTCCCCACAGATGAAGTTTTCTCCATAAAAGAAGACAAACGGAAGGTGTGCAGTCAGCAACAGTCAGGGAACAAGAACAAGCAGAAGTTAGAAGTTGCGGTCGCGGCAGTGCGGGATCAATGACTTTTCTGGGCAAACTCGTACCGGTACCACCAACACGGAAAATCCATAACTGATTTATATTTGTACAAGTTCAAATTCGACTCGGCGTATCTTCCTGTACATCATCAGCCCAGATCGTGTGCACACGTGAACAATCAGCGACAGAGAAGAGGGGGAATAGGTCACCGGCGAAATATCCTCACGCATCATCTGCCCAACCTCCGCCCGGTCATCCATTCCACCCTCACCCTCTGGCCCAGACGTCGACGTCCCTCGTAGCATAGGGCCATTTCCGCGGTCCCCACCCAACAGGACTCCTACCCCTCGGTGTCCTGGGAGCTCTCTCCCCCTCCCCAACTCGCACAAAACACCCATAGCACATGTTCTCGTCCCATTTCCCCCAGACGTCTACAGGTAAGGGTTGGGCACAGACCTGCCCGGACCAGCGTGCGGGCGGGCACTGATACAGCTGCAGAGGGGCGACGTAGCAGTGCAGCTCGTGGTAGTGGGTCCAGCAGAGTAGGTAGTAGTGGTAGACGTTGTGCAGCTCGCACATGAGTCTGTCCGGTTTTGGGTAGTACAGTCTACAGTGGGCACCTGCGCATCGGGCATTTCATTAAGAACCTGTAAGATGAAAGCGATGTGGTTACCTCGATGTTAGGTGCTGACCTCGGCGTGGTCTGGGGAATATAACGTTAACGCCTGCCCTGAGATGGGCGTACATCACTTATATGTACGTGGAAGTCTGGGTAGGTAACATCAAGTCAATCACGGTATGTACCCCACGCAACCAGTCACCTTCTGGACGCGAGCTGTCACCTTTTTCCTGACCGAAGACGGCGGCGAAGGACTGGCCAGATGCATGTATAGTTCTCGGCCGGGTCTCCACACTGCCCATAGGGGGAAATACGAAGCTGATGAGCACGCATTGGAGGCGTTAGCAATTCTGTTCGCTGTTTGTATATTCTAATTCTTATTATAAGGTATTGTACTGCGGTGCTACCTCTGGATGATCGGGTGCGACGGGAAGCGGCGGCGTGGGAGCGGGAAGCCGAGCGCGCAGCGAACGGCTGTGCGGAATTAGAGGGCGTGGGAGCCGATGACTCGCTAGAGGAAGCGTAGACCTAATAAAAAAAAATAAAAAAATAAAATTAGGGCAGAAACATGGGAAGCGACAGGATGCGTCGTAGGCTGAAAACAAAACAAGGGCGTGTTCGAGGTATTCTGTATCGCTTAGTCGTGCTCGGGTGTGGAATTGATGGTCGGGATTGTATGATTGCACGTCTTTACTGTAGCACTGGACTACCGTAACCAACTCCCCTTTCTAACTGCTACAAATTGCCTTCAAACCGAGAGAGAAGGATCGAGTGGTTTCGCACAGCATCTTTCACTTCGAGAAGCTCTGTGACGACTTCACACATAGTTGGGCGATGGTCAGGTTGATTAGACATCATGGAGTTGACCAAGGAATGAAAACGTTCAAGTCCGACCATCTATGTAGGGCAGACTCAAGATTAAGTACATCTACCACAGCTCTCAAAGAGAATAACTCATATTGAGGTATGGCTTGAACACATTCTGTCCAAGCTCAAAAACATCTGCTCGGAAAGGATTGAACTGGCCCGCGACCGTTTCGGGAGCGCGCAGGTTTGGATTTCGGAGGGTTTCACACTGTCTTGGAATGAAACACTGGTCGATTTCTGCACTCTCCGTACAGAGGGTGCCGTACTCCAAGTCGATGATGCGATAGCAGGGAGGGCATCGATTGAGTGGATCGATGGGCCCGACACGATCGATGAGCCAATTGCCTGGATGTATATCCTGAAGAGACTTGAGCAGCGTGTCGCATGGTGACTTAAGTCGCTTACCCCATGAGCGATCATGCGGTCGTGCAAGCACAAGATACACTTGATGAATCAACACAACATTGACAGAAGGCACCAGTACACTCACTCGTGCCAAGGCAATGCACATGTCAATAACCTCGCGTGGAATTGACGAAGTCGTCCTCTTCCGGAAAATCTTTCAACCAGGGGTAAACACCTATCGTCACGGTAAAACCCATTTTTGGGGGATCACCCTGGCTATGTGGTCAATTTCCAGTGAGCATAGAGAACGATTCGTTGCTAACATTTGGCGTTGACCCACGTTGGCAAGGCCCGCGGTACGCGGATCGCTACCAACTTTTTGGGTAGTAGAACATGGTGTTCCACCCTCGCAAAGTCAAGCATGAGGCTTGAAATGATGCGCAGTTCGGTCGAGGATGACAGAGTCCCGGTAGATATTGTGCGCGGCGGGTAGATGGAATGAGTGGCTTGGCCCAAATTCGAGCTCTGGTAGAGCTCAGTCGAAGGATGATCGTTTGCGGACGCGGTTGATGGTGGACAATCTTCGATATTCAACACTTTCAAGAATACCCACCTGCCTTCCCACGTAGCTGGGTGACCTACGGGCGTCTAATTATGAGGGAATACAGGTAAACCCGTCCAACACAATGACTAACCCGTAACTGAGCGGTTCTCATCAGCGCCCAAACATCAGGTCTTGTGGTATGAGTGTAAGCGTCAGGGGAGCGCGAGCATTTATCGTTCTGTTCGTAGATGCCCAGATTCGCGTTTTTGAGGCAGAAGAGGTCTATCCCATGTTAGGCCAGTTCATCGGCCATGAAATCCTTCCACGTAGGACCATCGCCCCGCTTGCCCACGCAGGATGCACGCCACTCGAGAATGCTCGACTGGGGCCAATTGTGAGCAGGACATTACGGCCAATAGAAGGGCAATCGCAGGTACTCACATAGAACTGTCGAGGTGACAGCGAGGACTCCGGCGAGATCAATGGAGTCGCAAACATGGTGGAGATTGTTGATCGTCAGGGTTTTCATCCTCCGCCTCCAGGCCCTGCAGTGACAGCTGACAGCGCACAGGTATTGTCATTACCGTCTTGTAACTCGCTGATGGATTAAGAATACAAGTATGAAACGTTTCTAGGGTATCAATGGTTTGGATGGAAATGAACTGTCCTTGTGGGTGGAAGGGAGGGCAAGCAGCGGATTGGAGTAAGTTCTCCGCGTGCCTGATTGAATTATGGTTGCTGTATCGCAAGCAGGCAAGGATGATCATAGACACTCTCGCAGGGCGTGCTCGAGGGAGAGAATAGTGTTTGCGTGATGTAGGTCGTAAGGCTCTTCATAAAGTCTTCCTGTTCGAAGTCTGAGTCCTGCTGCTTGAGTCAGCGGCATCCCAAGTATGATGGCATATGCCGCACCTATGACAACTATAAACCCGTAGTGCGCACAGTCAGAGTCGGTCTCTGTCCCGCGCTGCCTGCCTGCCCCTTCTTCCTCTCACAATCCTCGCATCCCCCCGCTAGCGTCCTCCCCACCACCTCGACCCGCTTCACAGACCCGCAGTATTCCCAGCCGTGCCTCTGTGCGCGCGGGCAGCGGGAGAGGAGCTCGGAAGTTTGGAAGTGGAGCGAGTGGGAGAGGAGTAGGCAGTCGCGGTACGGCGAGCGGGAGAGGAGGAAGTTGCACATGTGCTTTCTTGGGGTGGGGCGATGGGACGGAGTCGGCGGGTCGATGAGGGATAGGCGCTCGAGTAGCTGCGAGGGGGAGAAGCCGAAGATCGCAAGCGCTCGTCTATGTCTATGGTCTGGGGCTTCCCTCGCCCTCCCGCCCTATATACGTCCTTCCATGAGTCTTCAGCCTAGGAACGCATCACCCACAGACCTCACGGCGCGCAGTATGGAGCATAAGGCACGGAGCATAGAGTAAAGCGGAGCAACCAGGCAGCAGAAGCCCAGGTCCCATCCGGCGGCGAGTAGTTTCCGGTTTCCGGGAAGAACACGCCCGACCCAGGCAGGTTGAGATCAGTTTGTTGTGGTGCACATGTTGGCCGGGGGGAGGGATAGGCGGTAGCGGTAACGCCTAAGGTTTACGTTTACCCCAAAGGTATAGGCGAGCACTGCCTGTCCTTCGTGGAGTGTAGGTGTAGCATTGGTGACCAAGACGGATCTTGCATCAAGCACGCTGACGGCTGATATCCAGCTTGGTGATTGCCTAGACACAACCGGTGGATATCGTCCAGTCCAACCGGGTTATCAGCGACCATCCAGCATGAGAGTGACCAGCAAAATATTGTCTAGCCAACGGAATTTTCAATGGATGCCGGTAAAGCGCGGTTGTTGGCAACCTCACAGCTTACGGCACCGGAGAATCTCTTCTCCGACCGGTAGTACACAGCCACACCAGGGTCGCTCGCCGTTTCTTCTCCCCTTCCTCGTCGTCTTTTGTTCTGAGCTCGCTGTCTTGGGCGGCATCGTTGCCTCTATCTAGTTGTCAGACCTTACGTGGTACTAATCCCATTATATCCACATCTCCCACAAGTCCACAATATGATGCTGTTCAATACCCCCTCCCCACCAGACGGTCCTAACCCCCGCTCACACCTGTCTGTTCACCTTCCTCTATGGACATATCCGACCAACTTCCAAGCTCCCCTGCCGTCCACCGTATGCCCCTTGAACCACGCGCAGTTGATCTCATCGCCTTAACCCTCCCCGCTTGGTCTCCTGGTTTCGCCTCCGCACTCCACGCAGGTCTCACCCAACCGCCAACACAGGTCCACTAGTATACTGTATAATCATTCCCTTTCTCTACTGCATTACGTCCCAACTCCTGGTGCGACTCTTTACCCTTCTGGAGGTGAGATTGATTTATCTCTATTGGTGAACAGCTGCAACACGGGGCACATTCTCTAACTATGCCGCGCGTTTTAGGGGTCTAATGCATATTGTCAGGCCCAAACAAGGAGGTTGACGGGGTAGATGACGGGGTGGGATGAAAGGGACGACGAGGACAATCAAAAAGCCGATGGTCAGAGAGGAACACACTGAAGATGTTGCTGTGTCAGTCAGTGTGTCAGATCTGTCCCCTTGCCCCACTGACAATGCGCATATATCTAGCCTCCTTCGCCGTCGCCGTCTCCACACTAAACAAACAGACACACGGTAGATCATGGGCGCCTTCCTCTCTCTCCTTTCCTCTCTCTTTCACACGCCGCAACCAATAACATTCTGGACTCCAAAAACACCCGCATATATCGACTACCAAGACCATCCGTACGGCCGCTTTGGGCCCAAGTTCGCCGAGAAAGGCACTAGTGCACATATCAACGCCCCGCCGGAAGAGATAGAGAGACTGTCTATTCCGGCGTTTGTCGAACGGGCCGTTCCCTCGCTCCATAAGCCTTTCAAGCCTACGTGGTACCTCCCCAAGTCTGTCACATTCCACGCTCTGACCCGACCCAACTCACTCACACCATCGTAGCGGCCACCTGCAGACGATCTACTGCATCCTTGGTGACTTCACCAAGGTGAACCTGGTTCACTACTACCGGTTCGTCCCTGCCAACCCCTCCCCGGCATCCTGCTAACACCCCAGTAGGAAGATCCTCCATTTCCCAGACGGCGGCTCCATCGCTCTCGACCTCGCCGGAGCGCCCTCGTTACCTCCCACGGCACCCATATTGGTCGTGTGCCATGGTCTAGCCGGAGGCTCATACGAGAGCTATGTAAGGGATGTCCTGGCCGAAGTCGTTGGGAGCAAACAGCAGGGTGGATGGGGCTGGAGAGGCGCGGTGTGCAACTTCCGGGGATGTGCGTGTTCGTTCCCCTCCTTCATTTACTAGCGACTTACGCTATACGTGTTGCGCACAGGCGGTGGTACGAAATTAACCAGTCCTCAATTGTACTCGGCAGGGAATACGAACGACCTCCGCGCCGCACTCCTTTACCTCTCTATCCGCTTTCCAGGAGCGCCGATGGTCGGAATCGGTTTCTCGCTCGGGGCTGGTGTGCTCACGCGCTACTTGGGTGAGGAGGGCGAGCGAAGTCGTCTGAGGGCAGGGATGGCCCTGGGCTGTCCGTGGGATTTGCACAAGAATGGGGAGAGGTGGGCCCCTTTCCCCGGCTTTCCTTCCTTAACTAACGGGATGCGTGCGGTGTGGTATTGAATGAAGACTGGAGGAAAATTGGTTTGTACGGAACACGTACAGCAAAGCGATGGGCACCAACCTCCGACTGTTTATCAAGTCCCATCTACCGGAGATCCTCGCTCATCCCCGAGGACAAAACGTCAAACACCATATCGACGACCTATTCCGTTTCCACTCGCCCTCGATAAGGACCGTAGACTCTCACGTCGTGCGTCATTTCCTCTTTTCTTACCGTGCACTATGCAGACACTTACGATCTGGGTCGTTGACAGACGAAGCACCTCGGCGGTCACACCCCACCATTCCCCTTCGCCACCGTCGATGCTTACTACCGTTGGGCCTCTTGTCACACCTGGCTCCCTTCGATCCGCGTTCCGTTTCTTGCTGTCAACGCAGACGACGACCCTATTGTCAACAGACGTATGCTGCCGTTACAGGAGATACAGGGTAGTGATTGGTGTGTGCTCGGGGTGACGAGGGGCGGTGGGCATCTAGGTTGGTTTACAGGGAACCAGCATCCGCCTACTCGGTGAATTCTCTTCTTGCCTCGCCTGAACCAGCTGATGCGAACGTTTGGACAGGTGGATCCACACTCCTATCCTCCAATTCGCCCATGCTGCTATTCGCGACTACGTCCCTCCTGCGGGACGCAGCACCCCTGGATGGGAGCGAAAGGACGGCTGGGTGTATCAGGTTGATGAGGCTGGAGGAAGGGGAGAGGTCGAGATCGGATATAAGGAGGAGGATGGGGAGGAAGAACTTGTTAGTATCGAAGATAAGATGGCTACGCGGCTCCTGTTTGGCCGTTAGGGCCAAAGCGCAAGAGTTGGCAGGGAGGGTTGTAGAGATAGAGAAAAAGACCCCTCGACATACTAAGAGGCACGATATGGTCTACACATCTTGGCTGATACTTGCCACTACGGGTTTTCAATTAATACATATGCATATGGTGATCAAAGCTCCGTCATGTGACCAGAGGCTATACAATCAGGTATCCGGTACATCGACCTCCCCATCTTCATGTGCACGCCTCTCTTCACTACAGCACGTCGTACAGATAGATCGGCCTCGGGTAGTCAGAGTCCTGAACGTCCCATATCGTCCCATCCAATGTGTGCTTCGAGAACCATCTAAGCCTGCTGCCAAGAGCCGGGTGTGGCTGAAGGTCCTCGATGGTAATAAGGGGGGGAGTATCGTCCTTCGCCATTGCTTCCCTGAGATATGGGAGCTCCGACTCGTCTTCACGCTCGCCGTATACGATGCGGACCCAGCCTCCGGCGGGGAACTGTCTGAGGAAGGATTTGAACAGTGTAATGTTCCACACCTCGACCGTCTCGTCTATGAACATCGCCAGTTGGATATATAAAGCCCGAGGCCTCGTGAATATCGAGGCAACTGGCACCCAGCAGATAGCGAGCTTGACGTGGGGCCCGTTGCCGAGGAAGGAGTCGAGGAAGAAGTTCATTCCTTGGATCGGGCCAGAGGTCAGGAAGCCGAGTTGCGAGATCGAGTTTGGGCACTGGGCGAAGCGAGTGCGCTCTTCGAGTTCGTCGACGTCGAATGACCGCATGTCTATGACGAGCATCTTGAGATGTCTGCAATCATTGAGCATGACGAACATGCTCTCGTAGAGCTCCGCATAGCCCTTCTTATCGGCGATGATATGCATAACCTCGTAATCGTCGTAGTTCGGCATCCCCCGTATCCCCCATTCCATTACATGAATCAGCTCGTTCGTGTTTGGAATCCTGATATGTCGACTGGGGAGATCCTTCAGTCGTGCATTCGCATTCCGGTTGACCAAACGTAGGTTGCGCGAGAGAAAGATGTCGCTGACCGTCTGCCACTGGCCTTTCTTTCCGCGGACTACATCGAGGACAAGCTGGAATATGTCGGGGTTGAGCGTGGTCGTCGTCATTGTTAGACGCTGCTTTACCCTCTGTTGTCGATGGCTTTTGCATGGAAAAGTGAAAATACGGAAGCCGCATTCCCGCCGCATGGAAGCGCTTTGTTTGACTCAAACATGTTGAACAGCTTCCGCAGCAACTGTGCTTTTCTCTTTTCTTTTTCCCTATGTTCCTTTGTTTGCATAATGTTTGACCTCCGACATTTAAGTATGTGCTTATAGCCATCGATGGGTGAGAATTTTCTGAGAATATATTTCTTGTTTCATCTTAGCGTCGCCATGGTTTCCTTTCACTCTCACAGGCAGAAGGAAAGCAAAAGGACGTACCAACAAGGGATAAAGAACAATGTACAATTTGAAACTCGAATTGGATAGAGCATGTAGTACTCTACCTCGACGTCCGCTTTCCTGGGGTCGTGACGACCCTCCACCCCTGAAAATCCTAGAACACACTGCGCAGTATGAGATTTTCCAGTAAAAGCTGGCTAGATCACTGACGAGTTATTGTTCGGCGACAAGAAATGGGTTTACGATGCGTTACCATATCTCCGGCTGCATCAGGCCAGCGCTAGATCCGAAAGAGTCGGAGTCTACCCTCAATATCAATGGCAGCCAGTTATTTGCCCCCAGTGTTCTTTCACCGAACAAATCTGTCCATATCGTGCCTTGTCCAAAGCAGGACTTGGATGAGATCAGCCTCTTGCAGTATTAATCAGTGCATCAGTTAAATCGATCAACGACCTCCCGTGATTATGAAGCGCTTCCGGTCCAAGAGCCTGATTTGTCTGCAATAAATCCAGGGTCGACGCCGTATCCCGTCCCTGCTTCTTCTCCACCGCTTCTGTCTACTTTTTTTTTTTTTTACTTTGGCTTGCGGGCAATAATTTGGGGTAGAAATTTATAGAACTTCATCCAGTTCTTCTGCCGGAAATCGCTAGGCTGACAGAACCTACTCCGCTTCTCGTCTAATTATTTGCTTGTCATCCGACTGTCAACTTTCCCGGTCCCTGGCTTCGCGTCTGTACGGGCTTCTGCCTTCAAATCCTCGTCAGGAAGCGTGTGACAGCCGCCCGATGCCGTACTAAAAGCGGACACGTGAACCGGGTTTGGACGAAACCCTGGACTGTCGCAGCCGCACTGTAATAGATTGGTACCAGCGACGGGTGAGTCGCAGTCGTTCGTTGTTGTTCGTCGTCCTCATCGTCGGTTGCGCTGTGCTGGCAGTTCTCTTGGTGATTAGACGGCGTACTACATACTGCGTCTGCCACCCCGCTTTGATATCCTGTGTGTTGCGGAACATATTCGTCTCCACATCTGACGGTACAAGCGCTCGATACCAGGCTGTTCAATACCCGCTCCCACTTCGCCACACAACCGCTGACCGATCTCACCGGTTTTATAACCTCCACAATTTTATCCTCCCCTCTCTCCATCTCCTCTCTAACTCGCATTTTATTACTGCAATATGTCCAACCAAGCCCCAGGCCTGCATCGTATCCCGCTCGAACCCCACGCACTCTACCTCATCGCCTTCGGCCCACTCAACTCCCCCCTCTCCAGTACCTCCTGGTTCCTCGCTCTTGCCCTGCCTATGCGCCACCCAGCGACCAATATCCCCATGTCGAGCACGCAGTGGATGTACACCTATGGGCTCGAACGTGGGCGCAAGGTCGAGCGAGACACCTACACGCCGGGCGGCGGCACCCGAGAGGAGATCAACAATGTTTTAATCTACCGACTTACACCTCCCGGGCAGCCTGCAGTCCCAGGCGTAGGAGTGCAGAAAGAAGACTTGGCCGTAGCAGGGGGAGGGGTGGACATGACCTCTCTCTCCGAGTCCCAGGAGAGGGACTGGGTCAGCAAGTTCTTTATTTGGAGAGTTCTGATGGAGCTCAAGCGCATTGGACGTGTCAGGGTGTCTGATCCGGGCTGTTTATGGGATGAGGTATGCAGGGAGGTTACGGAGGGGCTCGAGGAGCGTGTCAGGGGAAGCTTGGAGCCTAGGGTCATCCAGTGCAGCTACACGTTCTAAGGTGGGGGAGGAAAGTGAGGACGGGTCATGCGGTTGTAGTGCGCTAGTGGGAGCAGGGAGGGGGAGGAAGAGAACGGGGCACGAGGGAGCCCTACTGTGCGGTGGGCACGCACATGCCAGACATCTGACTCTGACGACAATCCTGTAGCATATCAACAAATACAAATTCAGGCTGAAGCTTCACCGGAGGAACGCTATCGTGTGAGCGTTTCTTCATGCAGGCATAAAGTATCTCATTACCGGCCTCGGAATGTCTCACCTGTGCTTTGCACACGTAAACGATGCCGGAAAGTTTCGATATGCTATGTATCTTTGTCTCCTGCTCCAGGGGGAAGGTCAATGAGCCTACTGTTGCCTCGAGCTGGGTTGACACTCCCTGTTGGGACCGGTGCAGGGCATTGTGCCGCTGAGCCTCACCTTGACAACGAGGTCCTTAGCACCTCCACAGCGCATGTCAAAGTATTGAACAACTTTGATTCTCTTCTGGATGGAGTGCTTAGCCCCACTGCCTGTGCTAAGGCCGCGTAATTTTCCCATGACGCACTCACAAGACAGGAGCTACTCAATGCCCCTGCTGCGCACTTTTGATAAACTTCACAATGAATACACTAAATTTTTCTAGGTTGGTGTTGTTAGAGCGGCTTTAGAATTAGGTAGAAGACTGGTTCTTATTGGCTCAATTATATTACATCCGGGTGAAGAGAAGAGTATATAGTCCAAGGGTTTTTTGTCTCCCAACCCTGTCGTCCTCCTTTTCTCTTATCCCCTTCTTCCCTCCCTCCTTTTCCCCCCTTTCCATATCTCCCCCTTTCTGCCATCCCCTTCCCTTTAGCTTCTTCCCCCCCAGGAGGTGTCTTCTGCTTGGACATACTGGCCTGTAAGTCATGCCTTCAGTTGTGTGCTAGCGCTCTGGCCCAATATCTGCAATTGCATAGGCCCGTCAGGCCTCACTGGCTCTCCATTATTCTTCATCCCATCCCCTTTCTGTTGTCATGCCACTATGTGGTAGTTGACCAGCACTCGGTAGCCTTTTTTATCTCACCATGCAAGTCCTACTCAGCCACCCTGCAAGGTTATTGGCTTAGGCCAGGAGTGCTTGCCCTTGAGAGACGTCCAACCTCATCTTCCATCCTCTGCACAGCCTGCTCTGGCAGGACTGGACTCTGCCTTGGTCATCCTCAAATCTCTCTATCCTCTCTGGAACAGGGACTGAGTCCGCACGTCTCACAGGGGAAGGGATGTTATTGCTATGTGGCAAGAGCTGCTGAAGTCTTTTCAGGTGAGATGCCAACCTCATCGTCCCTATCATCTTCCAACAAGCCGTCATTTTGGAGACCGACTCTCTCCGACTTCCCTGGAACGGGGACGGGGTGCAAACACCTCTCGTCTTGTCATGTGCACCCTCTATCTTTGTGAAAGAGCTGGAAGTGTAACAATTAGGACCGAGATGCTCAACTTCTGGTGTCCGTAATCATCATTGCAGCATGTCCGCGGGTATATCCTCGCCTGTTCGGCAAACGAACGTTCTCATTCCCTACAATGTTTTGAGGCCTTCTGGGTTGGCTGGATCTCTCTGCGTACTATCAGCTAACGCAGCCGAGTTGGAACGTCTCGTTGAGGAGAGGTCCGCGCTCCCCGTGACAAGCTTCCTGCCTTGCGAGACGTCCAACTCTTGTTCTATCTTACGTGCCATTATTCCGAGGACTCGACTCTCCGGATGTCTTGCTCCGAAACTTCTCTAGCCGTTGTGGAATGTAGACCGAGCGCGAACATCTCATCTTGGAGCGAACCTCTTTCTTGACGAAAAAATTCATCTGTGGTGTCGTTCATCCAGATGAGATGTTCAACCTCTGGCGCCCTTGTCTCGTTCATTTTGTCGCCGGCCTGGTCTATCCTCGCTCTTTCAGCAAATAGACGTGCTCATTCCCTATAATCCCTTAAAGCTTTCTGGCTGGATCTCCCTGCTAGGAAGAAGCAATCAGAACCGAGTTCGAACGTATCTTTGAGGGGTAAAGCAAGTGTTCTTCCTTTCCTGAGGAGTCGATCCTCCCGCCCGCGCCCCACCTCTGCCTGCTCTCCCTCTACGTGGACCGAGTGCCCATCTCGCTCGGGAAGTCGCTGCTCTCCCTTTCAGGGAAGAGCTCACACGGGCCTCTCTGACGGGACGTCCAACCTCCTCTCTTCTTACAACGCTTGATTCCCAGGCCTCTCTCTCTCTCTCGCTACCCTGTCCCGAACCTTCTCTGACAGCTCTGAAATGTAGACCGAGCGCGAACATCTCATCTCGGAGAGAACCTCCTTGACGCAAGAATCCACGGGGTCTGCTGTCGAGATGAGATGTTCAACCTTTGGGCTCGTTATCTCACTGATCGACATCGATATCATGTCACCCGCCCCCCCGCCCCGGTCCTCTCGCATCTGCCCGGATATCCTTGCTCCTCCAGCAAACGTATGTCCTCAATACAGACAACGGTCTTACATCCTCCTGGCTGCATATTTCATATTTCTGCTAGCAACAGGAGGTCGGAACTGAGTTCGAACGTCTCGCTCGGGAGAAGGCCGCGCTCACTGTCCATGAAGAGCTGTCCCTCTTATCCCGCCGAGACGTCCGACCTTGTTTTCCATCTTCCAAACATTATTCCGAGGAGTCGATCTGGATGTCCTCCGAATCTGTCTGGCAGTTCTGAAATGTGGGCCGAGTGCGAACATCTCATCTTCGAGACAACGATCGCTCTCTTGTTGACGCAAGAGTGCATGAGTGTATGCCTCGTGAAGATGAGATGTCCAACCTCTGGCGCCCTTGTCTCGCTCATTTTGTCACCGGCCTGGTCTATCCTCGCTCTTTCAGCAAATAGACGTGCTCATTCCCTATAATCCCTTAGAGCCTGCTGGCTGGTTCTCCCTGCGAGGAAGAAGCAATCAGAACCGAGTTCGAACGTATTACTGCGGGAATGTAGGAAAGTGTTCTTCCTTTCGGGGAAGAGATCACTCGCTTCGTCCCGTTCGATACCTCCAACCTTGTCTTCTATCTCACAAAACTCTGTTGCAAGCCTGAGGACTCGATTCTCCCTCCTGCGCCAACCTTCTGCCTGATCTCCGTCTATGTGGACCAAATGCGTATGTCTCGCTCGGGATGCTCTCCCTTTCAGGGAAGAGCTCGCAGAGCCTCTCTGACGGGACGTCCAATCTCGTCTTCTATCTCACAAACCTTTGCCAGCCTGAGGACTCGATCCTACCTCCTGCGCCCGGCCCTCAGCCTGCCCTCCCTCTACGTGGCGTCTTGCTCAGGAAGGCGCTGCTCTCCCTTTCAGGGAAGAGCTCGCGCGGCCCTCTGTGTCGGGACGTCCAACCTCCTCTCATCTTCTCTCTCTGGATGTCCTTCTCCGAACCTTCTCTGACAGCTCTGGGATGTGCACCGAGCACGAACATCTCATTTCGGAGAGAACCTCCTTCTTGACGAAAGAATCCATGGGCTTGCTGTCAAGATGATATGTTCAACCTTTGGGCTCATCATCTCACTCATCAACATGGATATCATGTCACTCGCCCCACTCGCATCTGCCCGGATATCCTTTCTCCTCCTAGCAAACATATGTCCTCAATACAGACAACAATCTTACATCCTCATCCTCCTGGCTGCATATTTCATATTTCTTAGCAACAGGAGATCGGAACTGAGCTCGGACGTCTCGCTCGGGAGATGGCCCCGCTCGCTGTCCATGTCCGGGAAGAGCTTGGTCTCGTCCTTGCGAGACGCCTGACCGTGTTCCATCTTCCAAAGTACTATTCCGGGGGGTCGACTCTCTCTCCGGTGGCTGCCCTGACCCGAACCTCCTCTGACAGCTCTGGGATGGCGAACAGCTTATGGGAGCACGTCCTCAAAGAACGTTGGCTTGCTATCGAGATGAGATGAGATGAGAGGTTCGACCTCGTCTGACTTTCTGTAGTCTGAGTGTTCTATCCTCTATCCTCTATCTTCTATCCTCTATCTGCTTATTGCACTTCAGTCCTGGCACGAGCTCCAACCCCCAGTCTTATGCCGACCCGATGGTCTCCGAGTCACGAATCCTCATTCAAAGAGTTAGAGTCGGAATCGGAGTCGGAGTCGGCCCGGGAGTCAAGTACCTGTACCTCTGCCTGTGCCCGTGCTCTTAGCTCTTAGATCTCGGCCTCTGCCAACCTTGTCGAGTGCGCGTCTGAAGTGGGACGTGGGAGAAGCTCTCTCTGACCTTGGGAATAGCTGCTGGAGCTCTGGTGTCCGAGTCTGAGAGCGTGGGACTTGTGCCCTCCTGTTCTCCTGGGCTTCGGTAAAATGCCCCTCCTATTCCTGCTCTTAATCCTAGAGAACCAACCCCTCTTCAGAGAAGTCTAACTCTGCTCACGCTGGTGCTTGGGGCAGACACAGGCAAGTGCTACGAAATGTGATTAGTACTGTGTACTTTTGAGATTTCTCGTTACGTTACATTACATTCTCTTGGCGTTATATACATTTTCTTTCATTTTGGGTTCGTCATGTTCGTGCAGTTCGTCAGTAAAAAGTGGGGGGAGAAGGAAGCGGAAAAAAATGTGCGAAAGAAAACGCTAGGCAAGACAAACAAGCGCACACAACAAAACGTCCGGCCAGCGCCCTCCTCACCTCCCCTCCCTCCCTAGTTCTGGGGCTCGATCCTAAACCCCCTCGCCCCCTCCTCGCTCATACACACCACCTCCACTTCCCCTCCCGTCAGGGGCTGGTCGACGTCTGGGAGGAGGAAACCGAATGTTCCCCCCTGGCAGGTGGGGGCGTTTTGGACGGAGCCGAGGTTGTCGGTGTATCCTGCCTACGTACGGGGGGTTAGCGCACTGCGTGGATAGGAGAAGAGGGGGGAGGAAGACGCCAGAAAGATGTAAGATGGCCGCTCACCCAAACATATTCCACCCCCTCAGTCCCATTCCTCATCCACCACTGCTGTAAGATCTGACCCGAGTCCTCATTATACGTACAGTCCTCAGCTTGGAGCACGTGTGGCGGGGGCCCGTTGGGAGGGTCGACTGAGAGACATTTGGAGATGTAGGGGACGTAGAGGTGACCTGTTGCGAAGGTGGCGTTGTTGGTGAAGGCTTCTGTAAGAGTGGGTTAGTCTGCTGCTGCAGGTGCAAGGGGAAGGGGGGGGGGGGGGGAGTGACATACCAAAATTGGGCGAACAAGCCTGGAATTGGACTTCCAAGCCATCACTGCCTCCGTAATAGAGGACGTTACCCGTTCCCCAGAGGAAGAAGTTCTGGGGGTTGGAGAGAGATTCACCTGTGAGGATCCCGCTGGTGAGAGGGGTGCAGGATTCGGTGCCTACTATGCGCGGGAGGGGGGCGCGTTGGAAAGGGAGGGAGAGGGCGAGTGGGATGAGGGCGAGGGAGAGGAGGGAGAGCATCGTGTGGGGTTGTAGAGGCGAAGTGAAGAGTGAAGCGAAGTGAAAGTTGAAATGCGTGTGAAATGCGTGTTTGAATGAAGACTGAACGTGCTCTCCTGTGCAGTCTTATACTCCTCTGCGTTGATGCCAAGCGTTGGAAGTCGCTCGACCTCCTGTGCGAAGATGGGGAGTGAACTGCGGATGGGGCGGAATGGATGGGTGCGGGTATGAATACGCTGAGGGGGAATGGATGATGACGATATAGGAATTGGAGTGAACCTGCACTCTTCACACTCCGAGAGTAAAGAAAGACAATTAATGGCGGAAGACGGAAGGCGAGAGCAAGCCGTGACACCCGGCGTCGATGTTGGACAGAATGACGTACTATGCGCCTAATACCACGTGGACCTTGATACGCTTGGCACAATCTGGAAAGATAGAGGGAACTCGACCAGCGAGACTAATGGGTTAGGACTCTTTTGGGAGAAGAGGGGTTATATCCCTCAAGCAGTGTGCAGGGGCATCCCTCCTGAGGTAAAGGGGTGGGACGCGCACTCTCCGGAAGCGTACCTCCGACTCTGAGCTCTGTGCCGTCCGGAGCGGACTGGAGAGGAAGGTTATGTCCGTGTCTGGCTCAGCGGAGAGTCTACAGGATAAGGATACAGGATAGAACGGTGGAAGAGCGGAACCGCCCGCATGACGCCTACCAGAGAAAACGCAAACTCCTCGGGGACAGACGTCATCCCCTTCACTTCATGTATCCAAACACCAAAGCTTGAGGGTGTGTCATAACGTCCATATACGTGCATAAATACGCTACGTACACTCCCTATGTATCCAACTCTTACGACCTCGCAGCACCTCCAGAGTTCTGCTCCACCGCTAAGATCGGGGACGCTAGCTCTTATCATGGCTCGGAGTTTCCTGGTTTGAGAGATTAGGCTGGAGGGTGTAGATATTGGAACGGGAGGGGGGGAGAGCCTGAGGGAGGGGCTCGGGTGCTCCCGATCCAGATCCAGATCCTTGCCATACGCTTCCCCCTGCCCCAGACGGCGGGGACAGATGCTCGAGTGTAAGTAGGTACGTACATCGAACAAGATAGAGCAGAGCATATGTGTGCGTTCGGGCCGAGGATGGATCGGAAGAGTGGAACCGCCCACGAGAGGCTTGACAGGCTTGACATACTGTACTGTACATGGGAGATACGTGGGCCAGTCAAAGAAACCGGCCAAACTCCTCTGGGGTGGGACAACAAAGAGCAAAGTTGGCTCGGAACGACCAACCAACGCTGGGCGACAGTTTCCGCTGTTGTTCGCAGCAAGCGGTCCAACCAAGGTTGTCGTACGTACGAACATCTGGGATTTGGGGCCACATGGCGGTTTTTGGTGTCTTGACCGGAAGCCCTCTGACTCCGAAGCCGACTCCGAGGTCGGCAGTGCGTTCCTAAATCCTTGGGTTGTGTCTTGCTGAGCGAGAGGGGAGCGTATGTCGGCTGTGCATCAGGTGAGGGGAGAATGGAACCGCTCGAGTTGGTGCGCCCCTTGTCCACTGGGAAACGCCAACCCCTGGGGAGCCTCTGTTAGTTTCTGAGCACGTAAGATAAGCTACATGTATTTGTAGTGCAGGAAGAACGTACGTACGACCCCGTTCTATCCCATCCGTCCTATCCCATCTCATGCATACATACCTGCCGCCTCTAGCGCAGTCAGCCTCTTGTCGAGGACGGCACCTAGAGTTTGCCAGCGACTCCAGAAGATGCCGAACCTGAGGGTGAGGATCGGGTGGAGACGCTGGACAGTGCATGGGCTCAGATTTTCCTAGTTTGACAGGCTTGGTTAGGAAAAGTGAGGGACAGGGAGCTGGCTGGATGAGATCCGTTGACTTCGCAAGTTGAGCGAGCTAGATTGGACTGAATCGACTTGGTTTGAGGGCAACGTCTGGTTGACGTTTGCTGTCGTCTAGATCTTCGGGCGGTTCGAGGTCACAGGAAGTGGCAACTCCGACTTCGACTCGTTTCGGCCAGGGCCAGGAGTGGTGGGCCATGTCGCTGGTTTTGTGGCTAAGAGCGTTCGTGCTCTGAGACTGAGTGAGAAATGTCTGATCTGCTTTCCTCTACTAGGACGGGCAAAGATCACTCATCTAAACGTATAGATGTACGCGTTTGTCTGCTCATTTGAAGACGGACGGGTCTTCTCCACTGATGGATGCTCTCCTGGTTCCTGGGAGTGTGGAGGTTGAGTACGTTGTTCTACTAGGCTGGCCATCGGTGTGATCAAATCAAGGGCGAAAGTTTGGCACTGTCCAACCCCCGATCTTTTCCCCACTACTCCCGTCGATGCTCACACTAGGGAAGACAGCATGATCCGTTGACAGCACCGTGACGTCTTCCTTTCCTCATCACTGAAATAGTGGACAGTCCGCTCGAGAAGACGTGATGCGCAAAAGAGTCATCTGCTGTACATGTGAAGGAGCTCGATGGTGTCGATGACAGGCCTAGGTGGGAGCGGAAGATGTTGGTGATACTGTATGGCTGGAATGTAAGATCCTGTCAGTGCAGAGCGCCCACAGATCCGTGATAGTGATATGAAGGGAAACAGCGGCGGTGATCGCGCGATGCATACTGTTTGGGTACTTCTTCACCATTGGACGTAAGTTGGACTTGCGAAAAGGTCCAAGTCTCGCCACGATATGAGATATCAGCGCTCGCCAAGAGAGATTCAGTCCAGGTCGTTCCGGTGCACCAACGGAGTCGACGGAGTGGTATATGTACCCTACTCGTATGCATGAGTTGTGTCAATTCGATTCGCTGGCTGAAGGTGAACTGGTCGTGATTATGATGGTAAACTGACGGACAGCTAGCATTTTGAATACGGATCTTGTAGCGCACCACATCCAACACTATCCCCCAAATACTGTGAGTCTGCATCCTATTGAACTTTTACCTTAAGGAGCGAGTTGTGAGTGGAGAGCGTCTTGAACGAAGCGGTTGTTCTTGTTCTACATGCAGTCGGACGTCCATTGGTATGCACCCCAAGTAGCACAAGCCCTCGACGCATTACTTGTTCGACGCCCTTCTCCCTCTTGATCCCTCTTTCAAACTTCTCTCTCTCACTCTCACTTATATGCAGTTCTCCCTAACGTGTACGAGGCCCCTCCTCCGCAGTTCTACTCTCCCTTTGTTGCGTTCAGCACGTCTATCCTTTTACTCGAGATGAAGGTCCTCCATCTCCTCCCGGATCTCTCTGAATCTTTTACGTCGGGCATCGTCCTGCATGTCAGGTTCTACCCACAATCTTTTCAGCTACACGTCGGGGTTATGGCTGTAAGTCGTAAGTCGTACACGTCCCTGTTCTCCTGGTTTATGTTACATATCTCTAATGCCATGAATTTCCAGCGTCAACAACGATCTTCGTCTTACAGAGCGTAAGCACGAGTTCAAAGACGAGGAGCTCCGTCGACTTGCGGCACAATCAGTCGGACGAACACTCCAGGATGTCAACACCATGCAGAAGCTCGACGAGGGAGGCTTCAACCGCATCCTCCTCATCACCATGCACGACGGGTTCCAGATGATCGTTCGCATCCCGTACCCCGTCACGCAACCCAAGTTCTACGCCGTTGCCAGTGAGGTTGCCACGATGGCCTTCCTTCGTGCCCATGGAGTTCCTGTCCCCAAGGTGTACGGCTACTCCCCTACGTCAGACAATGCTGCGGAGACCGAGTACATCCTCATGGAGTTCGTGAAGGGTACGAAGCTCACCGACATTTGAATGCAGTTGAAGGAAGCGGCTCTCGCCTCTGTCTTGCGTCAGCTTGTCCAGCTCGAGTCCCGCATCATGTCGATCCCCTTTGAGGTTGGTGGAAGCCTCTACTACGTTGACGACTTGGAAAGGCAGGCAGGAGGGAACACGAGCACCCCGTTCTCGCTTAATGGCGAGAATTTCTGCATCGGTCCGGATGTCAGGTTGCATATGTGGTATGGGAGAAGGTCACAGCTCGACGTGAATCGAGGACCATGTACGTCTATCTCCCTCTCTCCTCATCTCTTTGTCATATCGTCTAACTTTCCGTAACTAATCGACATCGTTATATAGACAAAAACACGGAGGAAGCACTCGCAGCACCTGCATTGAAGGAGATTGCCTATCTGGAACGTTTTGGTCAACCTCTCCTCCCGTTCCAGCGAGGCAGAAGAGAGGCATACGAGCATAAGAAGCAGTCGCCTTCAGACCACATCGAAAATCTCCAACGATACCTTCTCATGGCCTCCTCGCTCATTCCCAATGACCCATCTCTCCGAGCATTCTGTATCTGTCATCCTGATCTCCAACCTAGCAACATCTTGGTGTCGACCCCGCCGGACTCCAGCCAGCTGAAGATTGTCAGCTTGATCGACTGGCAACACGCTTCCATCCCTCCCCGCTTCCTGCTTGCTGGTATACCAGATCGACTTCAGAACTATGACGACCCAATCTCGCAGAGACTTATCCCACCATCATTTCCACCGAACGCAAACGAGATGGAGGAATCCGAGCTGATGGCGGCGGTCGGACTTCACCATGCTCGTCTAGTTCACTTCCACTACGCCAAGGGCACGGAGGAACTCAACAAGCTCCACCACGACGCCCTGTCGGACCCAACGTCTGTCTTCCTACGCCGTCTCTTCTACCAATCCGGTGCTCCCTGGGAGGCTGAGACCCACGACTTCAAATCTCTGCTGGTCGAGGCGACAGAGGAGTGGGGGAAGCTTGCGGGAGCTGGCGTTCCGTGCCCCGTAGAGTTCGAGCCTGAAGATGTGAGCCGGACGAAAGCGTTTAGCGAGAGGCTACAGCTGTCCGACGAGAACGTCGAGAATATACGAGCTATGATCGGTTTCGGGACGGAGACGTGGGTCCCCGTCGACCATTACAGGAAGGCTAAGGCACTTGCCGAGCTGCTGAAGCTGGAGCTGTTGATGGCGATGCCGAAGGGGGAGCTCCCAGATAAGACTGAGGAGAACTGGTTCTTAGACGACATGGACGAGGAGGATTACATGTAGTTTCGTGGTCTGGTTCGGTTTCGACACTGTGTGGTAGTGTTGATAGTCTTGTTGTTTGCCAATGAAGACATACATTGTTCAATTTGACCCGCTGGAGGGATAGAAATCCCATCGTTACCCAATCGGCTGCGGGGACGTAGCTGACATGTTGTCAGGGGGTCGATAACTACCACACCGGTTCCTTCAGCAATGTCTTTCAAATATGGCCTCTGACGCGTGCGCAGGGGTTCGTGCGCTCCTTGATCCCTAATTCTAGTCATGCGACAGAGGCTCGAGCGTACTGGATCTCTATCGGTACAGGTATCGGTATCGGTATCGGGAAGCCAGAGCAAGCTGTCGAATTCCTTGAGTGCCTTCTCGCGTGAGTTGGCCCGAATGGGGGTTGAGGGGTGCGGGATGCTGGGCGATCCGGGCTTGGAGAGGGGGGGTCGGAGACCGAGGTTGGGGGAAAGTTTGTTCGTCCAGCAGCCCGACCGGAAGCGTACCTCCGTTTCCTCCCCCAGCAGTGCGTTTGGATCGGATGGTGGATGTCCGTGTCTTGCTGAGCGGGAGCGGGGCGTATGTCGGCCGCGCATCAGGTGAGGGAAGAACGGGATCGCTCTCGTCAGTGCGTCGTATGTACTAGAAAATGCCAACCCACTGAGGAGCCTCCGACCTAGCTTCTGGGCACGTAAGATAGACTATTTGTAGAGCAGGAAGAACGTTGTACGTACGACCTATCCCATCTCATCCGTACCTGCCGTCTCTGGCACAGTCAGCCTCTTGTCGAGGGGGACGGCCCGTAGAGTTCGCCAGCGACTCCAGAGAAAGATGCCGAACCTGAGGGACTGAGGATCGGGTGGAGACGCTCGACGGTGCATGGGCTCATATGTTCCCAGTTTGACAGGCTTGGTTAGGGAAGGCGAGTGAGAGCTGACTGGATGTGAGCTCCGTTGATCCCCCACCTAGACCGGACTGGAGCGACTTGGTTTGAGGGCAATGTCAGGTTGACGTTCGGTGTCGTCTAGATCGTTGGGGGAGGTTCGAGGCCACAGGAAGAACTGGCAACTCCGACCTTGTGATATGTGCTCCTCCTGGCTCATCCGTACTCGTTTGGGCCAGGAGTGGTGGGCCACGTCGCTAGAGGTTTTGTTGGCAAGAGAGCGTTCGTGCTCGGAGACCGAGGCTGACAAGTGTCTAATCTGCTGTTCCTCCACCAGTACGACCAAAGATCACTCATCTAAACGTATAGATGTACGCGTTTGTCTGCTCATTTGAAGGCGTACGGTTCTTCTCCACTGATGGATGCTCTCCTGGCTGCTGCTGGGAGAGTGGAGGTTCAGTACGTTGTTCTAACGCGCCAGGATGGGCATCGGTTTGATCAAGGGTGAAAGTTCGGGATTGTCAACCCCCCGATCCTTCCCCCCCCCCCCCAACTCGTCCCCATCGATCG